GTATTTCATTAGGTATCTTACTTTGAAAAGTATTCGAATACAGTAAAAAGTATTCAAATACTTGTCACTCAAATACATTAAACATTTAAAATAGTATACTAGATAAAAGGCTTAATGCTACTTAAAAAATCAAGTTATACTTTGTATGAGGTTAGCTTTTTTTATATTTGTATTGTTATATACAAATTTAGGGGGAGTAAAAGCGTAATATTAATATTATATTATTATATAGGAGATACCTACCAGGACCTTTCTTATACCAGTTATATCCTTAAGAATACGTGTACCAGTTTTCAAAGCGCCGTGCACATGATACCTAGCGATTTTGGAACAGATCCATTTTTGACCATCCGTTTGTTCGTGTGCATGATAACTTGTTTAGAAACGTGCGATCGCTTTTAAAATTGGTACACATGGTTTTAAGGATATAAGAAAGGTCCCTATTGTTTTTAAGTTACGTAGACTATCGAGTTCGGTATTCAGATGTATCGGATTTTTATATTTGATTTTGTGACAATGGAAACTTTCCCTAAACATTTCTAAATTGTTCTCAAATATTTGAATAACATAAAAGTACTGCCTTTTTTTGAGGCCGGAAAAAAATTGTCTGAGATCGAGATCGATCGAGAGTCCATAATTTTAAACAGTTCCAAGATTGGGCTACTAGTTCAAAAGTTACAGCCCTTTGAATTTTCTTTCGAAATTGGTTTCTAGTCTATAACTTTTGATTGAGAAGTCTGATCGAAAAAGTACGAATTGTTTTGGATTCTACGCACCAAAATTAATAAGAAAAAGTGTTTTCCCGAGAAATTTTGGTGAAGTCGATTTTTGGTAAAAAAGGAAGGTTATACACTGCCTTTTTTTGAGGCCCGAAAAAAAAATTTTGTCTCAGATCGACACGGAATTCGAATACTTCTCAAAGTATTCAAATACTTTGCGAGGTATTAGAATACTTTACGAAGTATGCAAATACTTTGCGAAGTATTCGAATACTAAATATTTGTGAAAGTATTTGAGTTACAAAAACAAATACTGCTTCCATAAAAGTATTTAATTACAAAGTATTTGAATACTTTAAAGGATTTGAATATTAAAAAGTATTTACAAAATCGAATACGGCCCAGATCTGGTTGTGTGGTACTCCAGCATTTTGGTATCCTTGTTTGATATTGTTTAATAGGATCCACTAGCTACCGTTTAAGTGCACAATTTCATAAATTGTACATTTCTCTATAAAAACTCAATTTTACATTACGCATGCTGTAACTTGTGTAGTACCTACCTATATTGAATATCACCTTGCTTGATTTCCTTTAAATAATCTTAATTCGCAAAATCATGAGATGGAATAAGGGATAAATTTTTCCAAAACGATGGGATTGGAAAAACTAAAGTTATTTCACGTTAGTACCAAATTGCATCTTAAAAACAATATTTTGCCTCGTCAGTAGATGGCGGTAATTTTTAAATTCTTCACGTGCTTTAACCTTGTTTGAATTTTCACGAGTAGGTCTATAAGCTTTCGCCACGTTTTCTGAAAATTACTATTTCTTATTGCCCATTATTTTTAAGTATTTGCTTAAGTAAGACCCAAGTCATTGGTCCATATGAATAAAAAGAAGCATATGCTTATACTTCCAAAATTCAAAGTAACTACTCGTAACTGCCCCCTCACACTGGGCGACTTAGCAGCGCTGGTTAGCCATGGTACAGGACATAGTGCAGAGCTGCTGAGCAGCCCAGTGTGAAGGGGCACTTACGAGTATTTACTTTGAATTTTGCAAGTATAAGCATATGCTTCTTTTTATTCATATGGGCCATTATCTAATACGTAGTAACTGTTCAAACAATTTATACGGAGTGATCAAAAATTCATGGCAAGAGCTTTCCCAAAATGTTCACCTTACGAATTGATTTTCTATTTAAAACTAAACGAATACATACAAACAGCTATGTTCGAGAACGCTTAGGCTACTCAATTTTGGGTTCTAAGAGCGATATCTTTGTATCTTAACAGTCACTAAACAGTAATATATTAAGTACAACTCACACATATACTGTTCATAACAGCGCGAACTATTCATTTCTTCGGCATTGAAATTGGAACTATCTTGAAACGCAATTCGATTTGCTTATACAGGGTGGTGACTTGCGTAACGCATCATAGGGATTTCAATGTAAAATTCATAACATGCGATTATTGGCTCCCCAAATTATTTTAGAGTAAAAATGTATTAAGGTTTTTTGTAGAAAAGAATTTTTTACGTCAATCAACCCTATTAGTTTTCAGTTTTTTGCATAATAAAGACGGAAAATTGGAAAATAAAACCCCCATCTTTTTCAATAATCTGCGATGCCATGGAATTTTCCAAAACAAAAAGATATCCAGTTATCAATTAGCAGCAGTTCGAAATGGCTTTTATGATCGACTTGGTTACTGTATAGCAGTTAATGGTGACTTATTCGAACGTTTATTGTAAATTGTTATATTAGGAAACCGTTTTTAGTAATTTGGTCTTTCTTTCTGTTGAATTCGCTGTTCTAAATATAATGCTTTTTGATAGAATTTGATTTGTTTTATAGCGGACATTCCATGGCATGACGGATATTGGCGTAGTTTTTGTTAAAGTCACTAAATATAGAAAGTACCGCAATCCATTGGGCTCGTGTGTTAGAGAGAGAACGCAATGATTTTTGCCCAAAAATGGCGGAAGTTACCAGATTCTAGTAACTTTAATGTTAGGGATTGTTCCATCTGTTTGGAGATGTCTGTATATATTTTTATAAAACATGACAGTACTATGAAGTTAGGTTATAAAAAATGACAGCTATTCAGATTTTATTTGTCAATTTTTTTAAGTTGGCAGCAAATTTGCCCAAAAATGGCGGATGATTGCGGTACTTTCTATATCTAGTGACTTTAGTTTTTGTATTATAAAATTCCATGGCATCACAGATTATTGAAAAAGTGGGGGTTTTATTTTCCAATTTTCCGTCTTTATTATGCAAAAAATTGAAAGCTAATAGGGTTGATTGACGTAAAAATTTTTTCCTACAAAAAACCTTAATACATTTTTGCTTTAAAATAATTTGGGGAGCCAATAATCGCATGTTATGAATTTTACATTGAAATCCCTATGATGCGTTACGCAAGTCACCACCCTGTATAGTAAACTCAAGTGTTCTCGAGTGCTCGGGAATTTTCTATAACTTTCTAGAACAAAACACGTTATATTTCCTGGAAAAATTACGTCACATCTGTCTTCGGTCTTTATTGCCGATATCTAATCTTTCATGGCACCTCGGTTAGGATTTCTGGAATATTCGCTACAATATGGTGATTTGTGAACTGAGATGTCTCAGATTCATTTATATTGCACGGTTGTCTTCACCAAGAACCCAAAGTGTGGAACAAACCTAAACCACTTATGCGGCAACACTTTCATCAAAACACGTTCGGTTCATTAGAACCTTGTGCCTTATTGAATGTAGTGCAGATCGTTTTACAACGTGATGTTGATCAAAATGGAAAAGAGAAGTGGAAAATTGTGAATAATGTATAAAAGAAAAATTGGCCAAACCTACTTGATAAACTTGAAAACATCGAAATTTAGATAAAGAATATTTGGTATGTATTTGAGATTGAAGAACTCGCGAAATAATATTCGTAATTTCTTGTTAAAATAGCGCCTGCTTAACAAACATTTCATTTGTCTTTCAAGTTTAAGTGAGCGTGATAAATTTAATTCAAAGGCAGGCGGTTTTCGAAACGTAAAACAAATTACACAGTCTTGTTCTTCATTTAAATTGCAAGTAAAGGAGATCAAAGACGCGAATTTTACGCGGATAGGTATACGCGACACTGAGTCGAAAATGTAAACCATTTTTTTAAAGCTCTGGCGCGGATGTGAAATGGAATTTTGGTCGTTTCGCCTTAACGAGAAACTAATATTGAAATAAAAGTAGGTATTTTCGTTTTGGTGGATTTCAAATTTCATGTTTCTTTTTAATCTGAGAGCAACTTCTAAAGCTCGCTGCGCTAAATTAGAATTACTTACTTCTGAAAGAACGCCGCGTTTCATATTTTGTTTGAAATGTAATTTTACATTACAACGAAAGCGAATGTGCACAAAATTAAGAAAATCTAGGGAGAACACTGAGCTTTTTTTATAACACATTATGAACTCTTATTTTTTCATATAACTGGGAAAATTTCAACAATGAATGATATTATATTGCAGTTAAAGTATGTGCATTATTGCGAAAAATCTCCAAATGGAGTTATTATGAAAATGAAAGTACAGGGGAACGTGACATTGAAATCCAACAGTTGAAAATGAGAGCCATAAGTAAAGGGTGCGGATTTATTTGAGAACAAAATTTCCGTTTTCGTGTACATTGCAAGAAAGTTGATTTTTGGATACAGAACAGAAAAAATGTCGATATCTGCCTCTAGTGAACTTAATTTACCAAAAAGAAGAATTCTAAAGCCCTTTCGAAGCGAGGGTTAAAACTAATGAGCCCAGTAATTGCATCCGGTTTGCTGGCAAAGACAAATACAGATTGTAACGTGATTTATAAATTCGGGTTCGATTTATATCAATATTTATTAAACAAAACTAAAACACTATAAAAACCGTACAATTTATATCGACTATTTATATCACACACTTCGCAATTTATATTTCCGCGCTCGATGTTTCATACGTACTCGATCTCGTTCGGTAGTAGACTGCCGCGATGTTCGGTCCGCAACCATTTATACACGCAAGCAATGTAAGTCCAGAACATTCGCGTAATTACCAGATACGTGCAAACATTCCTACTATCGCGCGCCTAGAAAATTCCAGAGCGCCAAAGGCGGCGTCATGTCTGGAGCGTTTCCGTTACAAGATCATTATTTCAATGCAGATGTTGTACATCCAACCCTTCCAGCAATGAATTTGAGTTCAATTGGTCGTGCAACGGGCGAAAATGCTTATCTCTATTTTTGCTTACAGATATACCGAGACGACCCGTGTGAATTTTGCCTGTGCCTTGACGGAGAGATGTTTTGCTGGTGGCAAGACTGTCCGCCAACATTAGAGGGTCCGTGTCGCGATCGCCTGCCTTTCAGTCCTTGCGGTAAGTGAAAACGTCACGTGGAGCAGCTATTTCAAGTCGCGGTTTCGGTTTCAGCGAATGGACCCAGAACCAGCGCCTCTCCTAGAGTGTATAAAGTGCCGTTGACTACGCAAAAAGCGTCTTCCTCGAAAGTTCCCAATTCCGTAACGACGGAGACAATACATCCGGAATCGACTAATCCAACCTCTGGTGTAACGGATACGATCCCAACGACGTCGAGTGTGAATCGAACTCCTAAAGTTTGCATTGTAATGGGTGAGTACTGCTCTGAGGGGAATTTTCTGATTTTCTGATGCGTTTTCTTTTGAGTTTGCAGGAATATTACGCAGGTGAAACGGTCCTTGGGAATTGGGGGTGTTGAAGGTTTTCTGTGTATGAATCGCTGGATGAATTTTTTGTAGATCTGTGTGAAGACCATCTAGTACGCAGATCCATCATGGTGTCATTTGACCTTACCGTGTACCAATGTGAACTATTCAGATATTCTTACTAATATCTGATTTGTTGCTTACAGGTAAAGAATACGCAATTGGGGCAAGTTTACCGCACGACACAGGCAACTGCGTTGAGTGCATTTGTGGAGCGGGGGCGCAAGTAACATGCTCACCTCACCAATGCGCGCCAGCCGGTGACGACATAAACGACTATCGTCCCCCAGGACCACGACCACTATTAACAGATACATTTTAATAACACACCCTTACATCCACTACCCAATTACCTTTTTTGGCAATTATCATCAAAATTTCTCAACCATATCAAGACCCATATCTTAATTTACCTCCATTTCGACTCATACGAAATACCCCACATAATGCCTAATAAATAATAATAATAATCAAATGTGTGTGTAAAACAATACCAAAAACTTTTATAGTCATTTTATATGTAGAATATCAATGTGATGTACGACCAAAAAAAAAATTTAAAAAACCCACAATCACACCGTTATTTAGAGATTGTTATTTCTGAATGTGCGCGTTCTTTATTTTTAGAGAAAAACAAATAATCCCGTATTCTTCCCAAAAAAAAGAACGTTTCTGTGATCGGATTGCCAGAGTTTTGAATAATGATCACTTTTTTCTGACAGACTTAGAACGTAACGACAAGCAGAAATAATAAGAGTAGTGTGAATAAGACTTTGACGATATTTAGTGATTAAGTATGTTAGGGAAAATAGATAGGAAATTAGAACTATTGTATGTAGTGTAAACTGGCGTGTTCATTATTAATGGCACGTACACAGCTTTTAATTATTTACTGCGGTAGTTTATATGAAAATTTAATTTTTCACTGCCTTTTTCGTACCCCAGTTTTTAATTTCACTGTGTATGTCAAGTCGCTTACACTTTTTACATTGAAGGCCTAAGTTAAGGGAGTGAAACGTTAAATTGTCGTATACATAGGGTACATGTAAACTGAACAGTATTATTAATTAATTATGTAGTACACTTAATTGTTGATTATTGTAAATTTTATTCCTATTGTATGTACCAAATAAATACAGATATTTGCATTGTTGTGGTGGGGGGAGGGGGAGGTTTTGTGTTTTATTAAAAACTCCTGTCAACGTAATGAAAAGTGGTGGTTTATTGTACCAATGAAACATAGGTAAATATTGTTGCAAATAATAATTTCGCTGTTGTACAAACTAGTGAAATTATTAAATTAATTTAACTCAAGCATTTTCGTAAATTTGAGTTTTTCTCTTAAATTTGATTATGTAACATAATAAGTTTTTACGCTGCTATAACAAAAGAATATGTTCTTTAATAATATATAATGAAAACTAGTCATTGCCATTTAAAAAAAGCCCCCCTTGACCATGCAGAGGTACGCCACTGACCACAAGTTTCAAGTTTGTAGATTAATAGGAAATTTTTGATAATTTTGGATATTTTAAAACACTTTTTTAAAAAACGTTGTTTTGAAGAACTGAAAATGTCAAATCTCGTGTTTACTCCCTCTTAAGTTAAAAACTCGGGAATTAACGGTTACCTAAACTAAACTCGTCAGAGGTGCTGGAACCTGTTCTTGTCTTCAAGTGAATGGAGTCCAAGCCGAGTACGCCTACAATTTCCTTAATTATAAATCCTTATAAAAGGATCTATAGAAACTTCATCTCAACTTACCGAAGGGATATGTCCAGTAGCTACACCACCAATTAAATGTTCGAAATGTACTCGGCTAGGACACCGTGCTGCTCAGTGTGACCAACCGAAGCGTTTCTATTGTTATAAATGTGGGACTGTTGGAGTAACAATAAAACTTGTCGAAAATGTCAGGGAAACGGAGGATGGTGACTGAAGGGATCGCGTCTCGTCTATCCCCATAAAATTATGGCCATGAAAATAGTTGCCATCTATTTTGAAATACTTACCCGTCAAAGTTTGGCAGGTCACAAATTTTCAGTGAACGATGTTCATTACAGTCAAACATAAATTGACCGCAAACAGGGACTATTTTCGAAATTGTGCAGTATGGAAGAAAAGTCCAGGATATCTGGCGTCGGTACAGGATTGTGATAAAATATCAGCGTCGAAGCTAACACACAGTTGGGAAACGATAGTGCCGCCCCCCGAAACATTCTGTGGGTATACAAATCCAGATACAGATCCTCAATGTCTGGCACCGCTTCCAGGTTTTGGTCACCCACATGTACACATGACGAACGACTATTTCTATTCATTAAAAATTGACTTACAGTAAGAGACCCTATATGTGAACTGCATCCTGATGAAGTGAACTATAAACTTATATGGATCTTATTTGAAAAAAAACTATACTTACCTTTATGTAAAAGAAACGACTTGACCAAATAAAATCACCTTGACCCTTTCGCTGGAAATTCTTGCCAAGTGCTAGTTCATCTATTCTCGAGTTTAAAAATGCAATATTCCCGTTGTCCAACTGAGTGAAAAACATTGTTTTGCACAGATTCACAATGGAAAAGTAGCGTCAGTCATCGTACACAAGCTTTTGATTTAAAACTTTGCGTTGCTCAAAAACTGTTTAACTCAAGAACAATGAGATCATCTTCACAACCTTCACCCTACTAGACGTCCTACTATGAAAGCCCATAAAGTGATTTTCGTGAACAGAAATTTCCACGGGATCAAACGTAGAGGAACCTTTAGAACGGCGACCTGTATTTTAGAACTTGCTCTTCAAAACGATATTGTCCGCTTTCCTCTATTGCACCCGCACGTTAGTAAGGGAGGTATTGCAATGGGGGCAAAAGGACCCCCTACTTTTTTTTACGGAAATACACGTTTTGAAGCACCAGGAATCCGAATCAAATAAAATCTCTATGATGTCTGTCGATCCGCGTCTGCACTCTCATTTCCGGCTACACGGTACCTCATCAAATGGAAGTGTTTTGTCTTTTTTTCCGACGAAATTTATAATTACGTACGAAGATTTTAATCTCCTAACTTAATCTCGAACTTAACCAAAAGGTGAGATGGCTTAAAATTGAGTTCCTCTCCGTAAAATGAAATGTTTTGTCATTTTTCTGACGAAATTTGAAAATGAATGAAGATTGTTGACCTCTCATTAGTTCTTTCCCATGAAATCAAATTGTTTTCTATATGCGCGTATTTTCCAAGAGCGAATTTTCTAAGAGCGATTTGAAAATGGTAAAGTTCCAGCGCAGAGTTCACGGAACTGTACCTCCAATCGTCCAATCCACGGTGCAAGCTGTACCTACTGGTTTACACTCACCGACATGGGAAAATCCGAAGCGAAGAGCCTGGAGCTTCAGTATGCAGCCCAGTCTACGAAAATGCTGACGCCGGCCACATAGAAAGGGTCGAAGGAGTCGTGCGTAGACGGTTATCAACTCAAACCAATGTTCGTCTTCCATATACAACGCTCAGGGCAAATAGCATCCCAAACCAGGCACTGAAACTGCTACAGCTTCTCAAACCAAGGAAACCTACTGTTTCTCCAAAGCTACAGGCCAATCAGCCTACTGTCCGCGATTGGAAAGATCCTAAAAAAAATTAGCCTCACAACTCACACTCCAAGAGGAGGTTCAGGTCAATATATAACATCACTCAGGCAGAGCAGTTTGGTTTCAAACCACTCAGTAAATTCTCAGGGTCGTGGTGGCACAAAAGGTCTCCTATTTCCTATTTGGGGTGAACATTGCACGGGTCGGATCTGTCACATTGTTGAATTGTATAATTTCTGCAATCTGTTTATCTTCTTTAAATTTTAGTTTTCTTTTGATTAATTTGTGCTTGATGAATATTTGCCTCTCGTTAATTTGTCGTGTATTTAAACATTCATTTACAACATTTATTGACTTTGAAATAGAGAAATACAATAGACATATTGCATTTGTAATATGACTATGTTTATTTGTCGTAGCTATACAGTGATATTTATAAATAAGGTAGAAATACGGCTTTACGTGTACTGATGTACAATTGTTTTTCCTTGTCTACTTTTAAAATACAAAATCCCTATGAAGGGCGCCTAATTTTATGCAAGCAAAATATCTTCTTAAAACAAATAAAAATCTGGCTGTGATATTAATTAATTTGAATATTGTTGGTTTGATATTGACAGAAAGATATGAATTCTTTTAGTAAAGTGCGTTGAACATTTGTTAAAACAGTGAAATTTTAAAGAAGCACAAAATTAACCAAAATAGCAGCGCAAAATGCGTGCGCATGAGTTGTTTGGGTTGCATAAAATTAGGTGCCCTTCAAAGAGAGATCGTCTTAAAAGTAAACATAAATCCCTGTCTACTTCTGTGTATGGGTCCATGGTACATCTTTTAACGTAGTACTCCATACCATTTATTGGCACTTGCTCAGTATAGAATTTTAGATGCAGTTTTTCCTTATTTTATCAACTGACAGCTTGATCAATAGATCAATAATTGAAAGAGTTAATAAAAAAGACAAAGTATTATAAATACAATATAATAACAAAAATAAAATACAACTCGTTAATAATACAAATTATTCATTTTGCCCTTTTTAATTTCTTTCGGGACTTGGTCTTCACTCCCATTTTTCTTTTAAGCTGTAATTCAGCATGATTTACCTTCGGACATTCTCTTTTTTTATGTCCTGGCTCTTTGCAGTGGAAACATGCCTAAAAAATAACTAAAAATCAAAGCAACTTCGACTTTCTTCCCCACCTGACTAAAAACAATCTCACTGCAGTCATGGTCGGTTTGTGCGCATCTGTTACAAGTGGCACAATGGCTCCATGTGGGCTTAACACATCTCTGACACTTTTGGCAATGCACATACGTTCTACCATCCTTTGATGTACACAGTTCACATTCATTGCAGTGGCGATTTTCAAGCGAGACCCACCGAACGCATTTATCACAGAATTTGTAGCCTTCATCGGCCGGAAGTGTAATTGACCTAAACAATTTATATAAACGTTGACCATAATCAGCTAGAAACTTACGACACACTAATATTAGTAAAAATTCGAACAGGCGATCCTTGTTTGCGTCCCTTTGGGCCGTCTCGAAACAACGGATGATTATCATAATCCACTTTATAATCTAGCATCACAAAATCGGAGAAGCTGTTTAATATCTGCGGCTCCATGAAGTACGGAAATACAAACAGCACCGGCAAATCATTTTCGGACCCATTTACAGCTTTGTTTAACCGATTAATGCTCACGACTGTCTGTGCAAGAAGCTCAATTCTTCCACCGAATGGGGGATCCATTACTATAACCAGCTGACCTCTAACAAAATGTTAGATGGCTTAGTCAATGATAAGACACAACTTACGCGCTTTGTTTTAGAAAATCGTGAAAGATGTCTTTTGCATCCTTAGAAAAGAAGTGATTATTAAACATGTTGTACCAGCAGAATTGTAGAGGTCCAAAGAAGGAATGGTACCGTTTATCGATGTCTAACAATAAGCTGGTCATATCCTCACAGCTCGACGATATATGCTCATGAATCCGTGGGGCTCCTATTGACAGAACATAACTAGAAAACGGTTTAAAACTGCTTGACACGCTCTTAGAGTTCTACCTAAAACTTTGCTGGCGGATGATTTCCACCAATGTCTTAACTGCAGTGTGTGAAAATAAGAATTGCGCCTCCTTTTTCGGATTGTCAAGTGGGTGGAGAAGCTCAGAAGGATGCATTAGAAGATAGTCACTTATGCTTGCAGTACTTAAATGTGCAAGGTGTTTATCCACATATTTTGATGGCACAAACTGTTCGCAAGTATGACAGTATCTTCGAAGAGACGGAGACATCAGTTTAATCTACATAAAATGGGTTAATGACAAGCAGCATGTTAGCAATACTTGCCTCATTTAAACCCATGAACTGCTTTCGGTGATTTATGCACTTTGTGAAGTTTTCAGTTGCCTCCTTCCATTTCTGTTGAGCAATGGAAGTCATTTTTTCTTCTGTCCCCAAGTAAAACGAACACTGTTTTCGATCACGACAGGCAGAGCACGCAAAGAAGTTAATACGCCTACCATCGGAGACTCGGGAGAACAACACGGTGGGCCCGTGCGGGCACTTCGGATGACTGGTAAGATCCTCAAGTATGACTTCCACGTGAGACATTTTCGCAATTACACCGAAAATGTAATGCAGAATTCAGTCTTAAGTAAAATAAGCCGTGCAGAAAAATGTACAAAAAGTGAGGTTATTCGATGAACCGAAATCGACTTTGATCGAATTTCGAAACAAGATAGAAGTTATAACCAGTGACAATCAAACTATATGTACAGGGTGCCCCGTGACGAATCTTTTAAGAGATACCTCGAAGTATGCTTATTTTAAATACAACACTTTACAGCATGCTATTATTATTAAATTCTACGTAAAATTCTATCTATACTTCATGTAGATAATGTCCTAGCCCTATACCTAAATTTCGCTGTTTTTCACATATTTTCATTTTTAATCCAAAAATGACATTACATCCCAAATCATAATTATACCATCTTTTATATGAGATCTGTTATTATTTATTTAAGGTTGGTTTCACTTCAGTAGACTGTGTTGATATTTTGATTGTAAACAAATACAAAGGATTTAAAAACTAACATAAGGAATTGAATTGAAAAAGCTTTTTTTTTAAATCGAAACCCCTAATTTTTTAACTGCGTCTGATTAAATCAAAAATAAGAGTAACTTTATATAAAGTTGCTTATTCCAGAAATTTCCAGTTTCCGAAGTATTGCCTATTTAGTATTTTTTCTATTGAAAAAAATGGAATTAAGTAAGTACGGTTTTAATTTTTTAAACACCTTAGTAAGTTGCCCATGACTCGTGGTCATTTCTTTAGTGTTCGTTTGGTGTTTTTTCACTGCCATGACAATAATAATAATAATGTATATTACGTGCGTGCTTTACAAAAGGAATCGTATTCGAAGAATCTAATCTAAGTAGATTTTAGAATTAAAAATCTTACAGATCAATACGAGCAATAATTCAAGTTGTACGAATTTCGTACAAAATTATTGAGAACTGCTGACTTTTGGTAATTTGTAGTTCATATGCATAAATGTTTGGTTGTTTTCTTTCGAGTTTTCTATAGCAGCTTTCTCTAACTAGACCTTAAATTATTTTTCCTATTTGTATACATGTGGCCGTTTGGATCTACCACTCAAAGTTTCTTTATTTCAAAATTGGCGCTTCAAAAAAGTGACCAATCAACGATAACTTTCAACGAACTTAACCGACTGCAGAGCAAAGCAAATGTCAATTTTTTGTTTATTAGTAAAATCTTGTGTTCTGCTTTAAATTGAATTCATTTTACTTTCACATATTTCAAATAATGTTTTCCCATTAATAATTTTAGGACAGATTAATATACGAAATGAATAAAACCGCAAACAGTACGTACAGTTTAATAAAACACTTCAACTGTTTAAATATTTAAAGAGTCTTGACATAGGTATAATTTAACATTATTTTAGTTATGACTGTAGGAAATCCAGGAGGTGCTACCACTACGGATAAAAGCACAGACTGGCAGCTGGAGTTACTGATGGAGAAATTGCGATCGAAAGCATCACAACTAAAATCTCTTCAGGAAACCTCGAAAACTGTCCGGTTAACGATGCTGGTATGTAATGTGCACAATCTGTCTTTTACTGAGCTCTGCGTTTCAGGATAAAAGATATTCCTTAGATAGCGTAGAGAAAAGCCAACACCAAAAGTGCTTAGATACTTTACAGCACTGCATTAAAGTAACTTCCTTACAAAGTATGATCGAGAGGCTAGAAAGTTTAACGAGGCAGCTAGGGTAATTAATCCATAAATTGGTACATGGATAATGACACTATTTTAAAAACAACACATTTCTGCCCCATTAAGAATTAATGTGTTGAGTGTGAATGAGGTAAAATCGGGTAAAATTAAACAAAAATTGTACACATTTTAAAACAATTGAGGTAGTCCCACAGTAGGTTGTGTATTTGTTGGCATGAAACCAATGGATAATCTGAAAGTTTACTACACAAACGAGTTTCAATTGGCCTTGACTATCCGAAAAATTAGCAGTAGAAATGCTAGATGTGCTCAGCCATTTTTTTTTAATTGCATAAACTACAAACGTTTTATTCTAGATGGCCATGGATGGACCAAATCATTCTTCAATGGTGAAATTAATACAAAAATAAATTTTGCCTAATTTATCCACTAACATCAATCTTAATGAATTTGGAAATTATCAATATTAGTTTTATACTGATAAGTAAAGTTTTTCCAGTCGGGTCACAGTCTCATCCAGGTATTTTGAAGCACCCTGTATTTTACATCATTAACTGAGCTATGGTTGAAGAGTTAAATAATTATTTTGATTTTTTTACTATATTAATAACGTTTAATTATGTTCATTATTAATTTTTCCAAATGAGTCCAGTGTGTATTACTCACTCACTCCTAATTATGCCACTGGTTTACATATGCATTTTTTCAATGCCATCTTTCATAAAGCCCATATTCTTGCTTTCTATATTTTACCTCTCTTTTTTTGCTTAGATTTTTCCAAAACGTTTCTGTCATGAACTACAACTGTTGTATTTGAACCAATATGGTCCAGATAGCGAGTAACCCAGGAGGTAGGTATATTACAGTTGAGTAGCACTCATGAGTTTGAACATTTAGTGGTTCTATTGGTATGTCCAATACAAAATCTATTACATTTGCGCTTGGGATTTCATGTACAGGGTCTCCCATTAAAAATGATCACAGGCCATATCTATGGAACCGTTAATTGCACAGCTTCGGGGAAAAAATTTTGTTAAGAAAAGGGGCCAAGAGAAATCGCGGGAAATTATTTTCAAGTTTCTAGCCTCTCACGAAGAGGGCTCTTTCCAACAAGACCTATTATGTGAAAATCTGTTAACGTAAACCGAAGTTACATTCAATTCCTTAAAGAGATGTTCCCCTTCCCACATTTTATGAACTAGTGCAATATGTGCTGCATCAAAATGATGCAAAATTGATACAAGATTGCTATGCATGTTTGTTGGGTATATTTTAGAAGGAAAGTCATTTTTCTACTTAACCATTAATCGTACGCCCTCTAGCGGCGAAGCTAGAAATTTGAAAATAATTTCCATTGATTTCTCTTAGCCCCTTTTGTTAACAAAAAGCTGTGCAATTAACGGTTCCGTAGATATATGGCCTGTGACCATTATGAATGGGACACCCTGTACATTACTTTCTCATGAATGTCGTTAGGAAGAAGTTGATTGTAATTCTGAACTAAATCCTAATGGTAATCCTTCTCTATTAACGAGCGACAAAAAGCGAGTTTATGATTTTGTACTTTCTGTCCGTCCGTCCGCCTGTGTACATGGTAATTCGCAATAATGGTTTAAAATTTTCCAAACTCTGAAATGGAAATTTTGTATTTCAATAATTGAACAAAATTGCATATGCACCATTTCTTCCAATAATTGTTCTACTTAATTCCTAATAAATTTTTTAGCAGAATGAGTTTTTGTAACAATTTTGCAAATTTTAACAAATTGAAATTCCAAAATGATCGAGTCTTATTCCACCCCATTCACATTCACACTAAATTATAAAATAGTGCCTTTATCTGACGCTCGTGTCAGAACTGTATAAATGAACTTTCTAGGTTAAAATTCATGGTGGGCCCCTCCGGAACCGACCTTTTTATCTCATCCGACATGTTTTACCTCGAGATAATCCTCGAATCGACCGGAGCGGTTCGTGACGTTAAAGTGCATCACGAAGGGAAAATGGAGCAACAGAGCTGTGCGGAATTGGTGTCCTGCCTCACTCGGCAGGATTTCAACGATTTTACCGCCCAACTCGAAGGGTTCGCCTCGATTTACCAGCTAAACGCCGAAAAGAAGATCAAGTGCAAGGCGTTTACCGCCCTGCAGTCTCTCGAGTCCGATCTGACCACTCTGGCCGAATTGCAGACGTTCATGAAGGAACCGTTTAATTTGTTGCACAAGTCGCCGGTCGGTATTCTCGAGAAACGCAAAGGGGGTCAGTATTGTTACGTGGGTGTGGTGCAGGATTGTGATTGTCGTATTGTAGGTCATCCTATGAAGCTGACCTATTTTGTGTCACCTTACGATTTGCTCGACACCGAGACGGCGGAATTAAAGCCGATTACGGTGGAATCTGTTATAAGTAAAAATTTAGGTTATAGTGTTACAGTTTGTATGGAAGGATCTGCCGCTCATAAATTGCAAACGACTACGTTAATTACGGTTAATAGGAATTTTAATGGTAAAAGGTTAGTATTTTCAGAAGTGGTGCCTAGCTTTATATTATCTTGAAAAGTCAATAAGCCCCCTGTAATGCCTTTTGCATATTTCAAGTGTCAAGGTAAATATGCATATGGACGAGCTGGTTTTATTGTATTTATGCAGCAATTATATTAAACCTTTGATTGTCAAATAACCCTTAAACTAAACATTGGTAAAAAATATAGGACTTACAGGGAGAAGGGCGTGTCTTGAAGTGTTACATAACCTCTCAATGTTCATGAAGCAGACTAAGGTCCTAGCTAAGGTCGATTCTTTATCCAGCATGCTTTTCTCAATCTTGGAGATGAGGTTATGAAGGTCTCCCTTTTGGTATGCATCTTAGTTGGTGTGAAAGGTTTTTGCTTAAGGAACTCTCCCCTTATGTATTGCCCTACTATTTTCTTTCATTGCCGGTGTACAGATTTGTTTAATATAATATTAAATTTAAATTACCAATGTTCTATATTATGGAAATGTCAATTTTCCCTTTCTATACTTACTATTTACCGGTTACCGTTTAATCCAGAATCTTATTATCGCTCTGTCTACCCAAAAGAGCCGCACAAATTTGGTTCATAAAATTGTTTATTAACCACTTCAAGTATAAACGCAATGAAACGTTGTGTACTTTTGATCACAACGCTTTCGTGGTAAAAATTTATTTAAAATACCACGCACGGTTATGCGGGTGTTAAATCTTCTGTTTACGTGAATTATACGCATATGTCTTGAAACTTTCATTTGAAAGTAAATGTTACGCGATCTAAAATGGTGCGTACGAATTACATAGTTTTGCCTTGGTGGTTCAGCGAAGAATGCCGTCAATAGCGTTGTTTAATTCACTTGTCTCTTCTGAGGCTTTGTTACCCGAAACCTCAGAGTTCTCAATTGTTCTAGAGGGAGGGTTGATAACACTGTCTAGGCTGGTGTCTTCGACAAGGGCGAATATATTCCTCTCGATTGCGGACAAACCTTGATTAGTGGTGGTTAGAGGTTATTTTTTTCTTGGCATCTTGCCCATACCACTCATACAGGGTGTTTTTTTGGGAGCTTTAGTTACAAGTTTCTGGGAAAGTAAAATAGGTAGGTTTTTGAACATTTGTACTTAGGAGTTACTCTGAAGGCCGAATCGATGTAAAATATTTTCAAAATGGCCGCACTTCCGGAAACACCGGAAGTAGATAGTAACTTCGTTATTTTAAATGGCAATCCCTATTTTTTATTGCATTTTTGGATTCTACGTGAAATTTCACTTCTTTTGATACCCATATGTCGATATCTACCATTTATGGTTTTTAAGTTATTTTGACTTTAAGAAAAAAAATGGCGGATGCAGATGGTACCTTGATAATTGATTACTTGAAAACGGTTGTAGTCATGGCAACCTATTTTTATCAGTGCATAGAGAATGAATAGGGCTTTCTTTTAGTGCACTTAAAAAAAAGTTAAGTTGCGTACGACCGCCCCTATGGATATCCAAATTTATGAAACTTCAAAGACTAAAAACTCAGTTTTTTTAAATGGAATGACCATGTTCTTACTATTCCATGAGATAGAGAATCGAAATGGGCATATTTTGACAATACATGTTCCTATAGCTATCTTTAACAGTTTCTGACTTATTCCCATTTTATTGAATTGACACTATTTTTTTCGGATTTTCTTTTTAGTAGTCGGCCATGATTCTATAACAATTGAATTTTAAACAAATCTAGTGACACTAATCCACCACCCACTGTTATAGGTTAACATAAGTTTTTCAAAAATCGAGAAATGACTCGCATTGGTTTCACCTATTTTGGAATTTAATTGTTATTTATGGTGAAATGGGCAGAATCGCGGCGCGTGCTTTCCGTACATTCATTCGAAAACTGGAACGAAATTGTATGAATTTTGGAAATTTTGTACCCCTAATGCACTTACAAACCGTTGAAGCACAAGTGATACAAAGCTCTACAAGAGAATATTTAAGAAAATGAATTGAATTGCAAATGCCTGATTAACAAAATAAATTCAATGCAAAATATAAAAAACTTCGTTGAAACATTTTTGGTATGGAATTGTTGCTAGAACAGATATCGTATTACCTCTCTTAATTTCCAGACTTATATGTTGTTTAAGAAATTCAGTTGAACAACTCTGTTTAGATTTTTCAAAAATTTTCCGTCCTATATCCTTAATAAATGAGTTATTTATTAATGAATTATTTAAACTAGAACTAGAATCAATGGTATTAAAGAATCCATTCCTTGATTTGTTTAAAATTCGATTGTTATAAAATCATGGCCAACTACTAAAAAGAAACTGCAAAAAAAATGGCATCAATTCCGAGATCAATTCAATGAAATGGGAATAAATCAGAAACTGTTAAAGATAGCTATAGGAACATGTAATATCAAAATATGCCAATTTCGATTCTCTATCTCATGCAATATTAACAACATGATCATTCCATTTAAAAAAACTGAGTTTATAGACTTTGAAGTTTCTTAAATTTGGATCTCCATAGGTGCGGTTGTACGCAACTTAACTTTTAAGTACACCAAAAGAAAGCCCTATTCATTCTCTATGCACTGATAAAAATGGGTTGCCATGACTACAACCGTTTTCAAGTAATCAATTATCAAGGTACCATCTGCATCCGCCAATTTTTTTCTTAAAGTCAAAATAACTTAAAAACCATAAATGGCAGATATCGACATATGGGTATCAAAAGAACTGAAATTTCACGTAGAATCCAAAAATGCAATAAAAAATAGGGGTTGCCATTTAAAATAACGGAATTACTATCTACTTCCGGTGTTTCCGGAAGTGCGGACATTTTGAAAATATTTTACATAGATTCGGCCTTCAGAGTAACTCCTAAGTACAAATTTTCAAAAACCTACCTATTTTACTTTCCCAGAAACTTTTAACTAAAGCTCCCAAAAAAACACCCTGTATAGTGATAGTTTTTGAAAAAATAGGTAGTGACTGTTATTATCCTTTTCTTACAGTACACCATCATTCGCTGCCTTAACAAACCAGAATAGTGCCGTTATACCCGCTTGCTTTATGTTAAAATTAAATAAACCTATGCCCATGTGTGTGTCGCTTATACAACAAATTCAACAATTGACCGAATTAGAATGTGTGGAAATGTCGTCGACTCATCCACTACTTAGCCTTATAGTGACACACGCGAGTGATGGTCAGATTGAACCAGGAAATAATAAAGGACTGTTTGTTGTACGTGTAGAATAATTGAAATGTATCCCGCTTTTTAACGAAATGTTGTAGACCCTACCGGAACAGCAGCACTGTTATTTTTTGACCGACAACAAGAGCATGGAGGGAATTTTGGTGCACAGTATACCCTTTACTCATCCTGGTCACGTGTCTCAAATTTTAGTCATATTACGCCAACAGGCTCTGTTCAACAGTATTATTTCCAGTTGTGTTCGTCCGAACAGCAAGCAAGGTAAAGTACGCACAACTGCATTAATTCGGACTGTGAAATTTCAGATCTAGAAAACATGATCATGTTCGAAATAAGCGCGTTGTCATGGACCCACATATCAATTTCAATGGAACACCCCGTAGAAGAAACCATGGCGACTGCCGAAGTTGATCTGACCGAAATTTCTAACCTTCAATGTCGAATACACAGTCCGGGCACTCTACTACCTCTAAACACGCCAGACACTGCCTCCGAATTGGCGACGAAAATTTTAAATCGTTGCCTATCGATACCGGTAACGATGCGGTCAATCATCAAGTTGTGGGATAAGCAAGTTGTACGAAAACATCAATTTAATGGGCACGAAAATTTTAGTTTACCCCTCGGTTCGGGCGACCCGGGGGGTCACAAGGGTCCACCAGGTAACAGTCTAACCGAGTTTGGTGGCCTCGACGGTAAGTTAAAGCAGGAGCCGTCGAACGGTAGCGGATTGCCGCACGGCATGAACCTATCGATACTCTCGCATTCGCATCAGGGCATGTTCCTTAACGAATCCATGATGGCGAGCGCAAATTTTTCCAATTTTCCGACTGCCGACGTTCCGATGTTTACGAGCATGGAACTGACTAACATTTTGGCCGGCACCGGTCAGTCGGATAAATCGATGAAGCGCCAAAAACGTAAGGGGGACGATTTTTGGAAGAGCTCAAAACGTAAAGCCGGCGACGACGCGGAACTGATGGAGACATCCAGCAGCGATTCCATGTCGCACAGTACGCCTCTATCTCAGGAGGCGCCGTCGGAGATCGGCATGATGACACCGACGTCGGTTGTGGGGTTTCAGTCGGATCTGGAGCTCTCCGGTCTTGATCCGGCCGAGCTGATAGGTAGTTCGGACAAGGCGTTGGGGGAGTACGATAATATTGACGAGCTGGGTGACGTCGAGGAAATGCTGGCGGCGAGTTCGTCCAGAGATCACAAAATCAGAAAGTCGCGAGATCTTCAAAAGTCACCTTCTTTAGGTATGTAATCTCAATTTCATCTGCCATTGTGCACTATTTAACCGCTATATCGCGAACAGGACCGTCTGTCTAGATAGAGCAGGGTAAAACAATTGGGAGTTTGCGTACAGTCGCGGAAAAAAATAGAATTAGTTTTGAGTTGAAGGTTTTCAATTTGGGGTGGCGGATAAAGGGATAGAAAGGTTAAGGGTATGGAATTGTACTGAGCTGTGAACGGATGTGTCTAACATCGAAGTCTTGGCAGAACGGTACGAAATCTCGAGCGCCACCAGGAGTTTGTCGATTCTTGCTTCTGATCAAGGACGGTCGGAAATTCGGAAACTACGGAATCGGCAGTAATTTCCCAAATCGGAACGAAAACACATATCATTAACGGTATCTATTGGGAACTCGATTGGGAATTAAGATGCAGGGAAGCTAACCCAAAGCCCCTTTTTAATTAACAGAAAGGAACGTATCAAACGCTTAATATTAAACGGTACTGTAAAATGTGAAAATTCACGATAACGCCAAAGGATGCAAAAAGATTCCCACTAAATGATGGCCTAATTTTTATTTTTATAGAATTTTTATAGAATTCGGATATTTATGGAGGGGCCCGGTGGTTTTTCCAGCCGGTACAGTGTCCTGTTATCATAAAAATATGGGATTAGTCTTCAAATTCACGCTAATTAAGCGCGCTTCATTTGACACCAAACACAACCTAATCGGACGAGGTTTGCTGCAACAATAATTGGCCGAGTTCAAATTTTAAAATTCGGTAGTCCAGTTAACATCTATTGTTGATTGGAATTCTCGGGTCAGGTTCATCGACGCGCGGGATGAGTGACCTTGTCAGTTTCTATCTAAGCATTGGGACTCTAAAATCTTCCAATATATAATTAATAAACGGCACGGAAATCATTAATTTTCACAGTTAAATTTTATATACAATAGTGGTCTTGTTATAGGAAACGTTATGGAAATGCAAGACAAAAGTTTAGTCTCGCCAAGTGTAAGTATTACGCCTATTAGCACACCACAGGGGTTTAACGGAGGGAATGGTGCACAACCCAGGCCTGGAATTGAAATTATTCCAATCGCCAGAACGTCACCTAACGCGATACCTAGTTCAATAACTATTACCCCAATTTCCTCATCTCAAGCGCGGAGCATAGACGAACGGAGTCGTGAGAAGAAGAGCAGTAAGAGTCGATCCGAAGACAAGAACCGTTTAGAGAAAAAGCGCAAGCGGAAGCGAGATGAAAGTCCGATGGGACCTCCAGAGAAAATTCCTCCCAAACAAGATCCCCTTACTAAGCCAGTAACGGTCAGCATTAAACCGGCAGAGTCTCCTCCTTTAAGTAGTACACCCACCTCCCCAAGTGGAATGAGAAAATTTAGTAGTTCACCTACGCATAGCAAAAGTTTTTCGGTTAGCGGCAAACTCAGTCCCAGCATGATGAAGTCGGGTATAAAAAGTGCGGCCCCTTCTCACCCAAGCCCCAAGCATTCTCCCGCCCAAGTCTCCAACAGTCCCAAGCACACTTTGCCCGGCATTTCAAGTCCGAAAAGTCACGCAACCTCTCCCAAGCACCCGTCAACTGGCAGTTCCGGAAAACCGAGCATGTCAACGCTTAAAAGCGCGGCAAATTCCCCATCGAATAAATCTAGCGGCGACATAAAAAAGTCGACTAAAGACAGTTCGAGGGACAAAGATAAAAAATCGTTTAACATGTCGAGTGTAAATAAGGTGAAATCATCGTCGGTTAAGTTGAAGCAGCTCGATTTAAATACCGCGTCAGATTTTTCCGGTTCTGCTAACCAAAACGAAAATGTACCGTCGCCTCCGGGTGCCGGTGACTGTCAGAAAACGAATTCGGGTCAGGTTAGGAACCGAAAGGGATCATTGTCGGCGGTAATCGATAAGTTAAAATCGGCTCAACACTGTGATGGTCCCGTCGACTTGAACATGAAGCAAAGCTCGAACCGTGAACGCTCGATACCTTCAATGAGTAAAACATCTGATGGAAGTAAAAATGTCGGTAAAGTAGGCGGCGAGAACAAGAATTCCGAGTATATGGTCAAACCAAGTTCTGACGGTATGAAAATTACCATAAATAAAACTAGAACGAAGGAGAGTTCGAAGTCAATGTTAAAATCGCAAAGTTCCGGCAGCGGTTCGCCAAAGACTCATACAGGTTTAAAACCGGGTGTAAATAGTGGACCAGCATCGAAGAAGCCTCAACAGTTCACGCAAAAATCTAGTTCTAGTCCTAGCCTTTCCAATTCTAGTTCGGGTAATTACGGGTTTAAAACAGGATCAAGCTCGAGTAGCGGTAAAACGCCGACCAACCTAAAATCTTCGACCATCAGTTCGAAATCTTCAAAATTGAGCGGATCTCCCAAGACGGGCCCGTCAGATCTCAGTCGCAGCAAAGATCGGCCTCGGCTAAACAAAAGTACATCAGATAAGTCGATCTTTAGCAGTTCGAGGGAGCGCAAATCCAGTCCGACGCAGAGTCGCGAGGAGTCGGAAAGCGAAAAGGCCTTCAAGCTCGCGCTGTCCAAGATGGATCCGTACTCCGCCGCGCCCCTCATGTCCGACGGCATGATGAAGCAGTTGGACAAGAATTTTCAAATTCCGAAGCTGTCGGCGCGTAACGCCGAGGATAAGAAAACGTCTTCCAATAAGATTAATACGACCGCTGACGCTTTAAATAATATTAGTAGGAACGTTGAAAGCACGAAAATGTACGATATGATCAAGAACGACGTGACGAAGTACCCGTTATCGCTGTCCAGTACGAAAATGTACGACTCGAGCATCGAATCTAAAATCCGCAACAGCATGAATATGATGAGCGCGGGCGTCGTCAACATGAACGTCCTATCGAACACGTTGAGTCCGAAATCGAATCTACCCAACTCCTTGCACAGCGAACACCCCGAGAGTGACATAAAGAAGGACGTTCCGCAAAATTTAAGTGCTCACAATTTCGCCATACCCCCCTCGAAACCGTTCGCGTCGTCGATAATCGCGTCCGATTTGTCGACGAAAAGCGTCGACCTCACCTCGAAGTTCGCGAGCTCCGTAGACACCAAAAAGGATGCCAAAAGTTTCGTAAAGGACGTCGGTGACGTGTTATTGGACTTTTCTAGTACAAGTAAAAGCGACGGCGGCAAACTCGGCGCGGTAAGTACACAGATGCTGGGAACGGCGGCGGCCGCCTATCCTCCCTCCTCGTCGGTAAGCGTTCATATTGTTAAATCGCCAGCTCCCAGCGCCAATTCGGGATCGCCTTGTATTACCGACGACGAACTAATGGACGAAGCTTTAGTCGGTTTAGGTAAATAACTTTTGTTTGTACTTTTTATTTGAGTCTAATTACTATTGTATTTAAAAAGGGTGATTGGTAGATAAATTATCTATAAGAACCATTAAAAATGATACACAGTGTTCTTAGACAAAGTAGGCGAATAGAAATTTTATTTTTTTACTGTGTATATATCTCCTATTTTCTTTTGTATGAAAATGTTTATCTATAAGCGCTGGTTTCGCTTGATAAATTTACTTAATTGACAATATGAAAAAGGAACAATGGTGACTTTTGAGGTATAGATAATGGGGTTACCCTATTATGTCCTTCACATTTTAAACTCGGACCTTTCGGATTTTGACGCAATTGGTTTGAAGCTTTTAAATAGTTATCAAAGATGGCGTATAATGGTATGGCAATCTTCTCGAATAACAGTCCTGTGATGTTTTACTCTCTTAATTCAAGCATTTCAGTAAAACTTTGTATTTTATTTTGATGTGGAATGTACCAATTACAGCAGTTGAAAATATAAAAAAATAGTTTTTTACTACACAAGTTTGTCAGACGATCGATGTGCATACTCCTTGAAACTTGGTTGATTTTATAATAGGTAAGATAATTTTTGTCACACCCTGTATATTTTAAAAGACTCGGTGATCTACATATATAGATCAGTCTGTTACCTACCAAAGATCTGATTTGTTTTTTTTTTAATTACAGCAAATTTGTGTCTGTAAAATTGATTGATCTAAGAATCCATTGGCTCAAATTAAAAAAAAAGGATGGTTTATTTTCGTAATTTGTTTTGTTTTTTCTGATGAAGATTTCACACATTATTCACAATGTTTGGGAAAGTGCCTTTAGTTAACTTCAATTTAACGAATACATTTCAACTGCACTGTGAAACACGATGGCACGTATCAATAATGAATTGCTTTTAGGAAGTGGGTTTTCTTAAAAAATGAAACAAAGAAAATCCATGAACGTTTTTAAAAAGTAGCAGCAATTTGACATCGTGGTAGATAAACGCGGTTAATTTCAATTTCTATGTTGAGGACCACGCTTCGAAAAAAAATTTCTCAGCCAAGCGAAAAAGGGCGGTCTTTGCTGTATTGCCAACCAAAAGACAAAAAATAGCCCATTTTTTGCCAACCTGATGATTATGATGCATAAAATTTTGAGGTACTATCAAGTGTTCTACACTCAACGTTCCTTTTTCATATGATAAAGTTACTGTCTAAGGATGATTATTATCTTTAGTTCAGCCAATAAATGGGCGAAAGAGTTCTAAATGGAATTACAAGATAAAGAATTTTTGTGCTTGGGATGTATTTGTAGTAACCAGAATATTACTTTTACTGTTCAAAGTTCTTGGTTGCAGAAGATCAATGGAGCGCATGCTCAGATCAATATTTGCTTGTGACTGTTGCGCATAGGCGCTTTCTTTCAGCTACTTCGCGATCATGATTTCAAGATCGCGTTTTACGAAAGAACGCGCGAATTTAAATCAAAGTATGGTTAAGTTTGTGTAAAAAATTGTTGGAAATTCTTTATCTAATGAGTTCTGTCACAAATTAAATTCGAAATCGGACAATGCTACTATTCTAAATTGTTGCTTACTCTGGCTTTTCTATTGCTTTTTCGACAAGTCTAATATATTCCAAGCTTCTATCTAGTCTCACTCCTAGTATGTCTATTGTCGTTCCTATTGGGATCTCAAGCCTCAGGGCATGACTGACCGCAGATATGCAAAATACCCAATCGGGCAACCCAGGTAGCAAGTTTACCATGTTACTATCAGGTGGATTAGTGGATAGGATCTAAACGTAACTCCTAAATGAGGCTCTTGTAATGATTTTCAAGGGTTAACAGAACCAATAGAGAGGCAAGATATTTTAAGCTTGCTTCAGATACAACTTCTCTAACTAGGTAGTTAACCAGTTTGTGCATCAAGTTAACAGATATAATTTGCGCATGTGCGTTGCCGACCTAGGCACGATCACATCCCAGGAAACAATATGTATTATCTTGCTTTCTGTTTAGAAACCTTTCTTGGGCTGTATTTTTGTACTGTTGAAGGAAAAAGATACCATTTTTAGTTTTAAAAATTGCAGATATTTTCATGACCAGATATGAAGAATCCGAAACCGAGACGAGAACTAAATCATTTTTCTTTGTTGCTAAATACTCATTCTCACAGGAAACCGACACACTGTGCATCATGTTTAATATTGTTGTATTATATCAGGATTGCCATGAATTAATAGCATTAAATTGTAGACAATTCATTAGATAAGGTATTTATTGAAAAATTTATATATATTTTATGTTGTACATATATACTAGCAGATTATCAAATTATGAACAACTGGAGGCTTTGGTGAATCCAGGATGCAAACTAAGCAATTAATATTGTAAATAAATATGTTTTAAACAAGTACGACTTATTTTAATAACATGTACAGGGTCGGACAGAAAATGCATGCGAGACTGGAGAAGATGCAGTGGTGCAAAGTGTAGAGAGTGATTCCAAAAAGTTACAGCAAACTACTTTTTGCGTAACCCTTCACTCTGTATATCTCAGATTTGCATGCATCTTCCAACAACCCGACCATTGCAAGGCGTTTACCAATGTGCCCCGTGAAGCATGGCCGCCGTTTGGATAAACAGCGAATGACTGGCATAAAGCGCCAGACTTTGATCGATATCCATCCACTGAACGCTTTTCGCGTCATCTCCCGCGTTAAGCCGAAACTTTCCCACCAAATTGCCGTCCTCGTCGTGAAAATTCACAGCCACCGTTTCCATCCAGGCATTGTCAGTGTTGCGCGGATCGTCGACGTAACCTTTATAAATCTCGTTGCCGCTAGTGAAAAAGTTGGCAATCATCTTCTTGTTACTTTCCAATTCAGCTACACAAATTTTTTTGATGAATCACTACTCTGCAGTACCACAGAAGGGCCATACAAGTTATTTTCTATTAATTTAAATTGAATGGAAGTGGGTATTCTAATTTTGTTTTTTTTTTTACAAAATTCCTACTCCAAGAGAAAAAATATTTTTAGATAGTTGAATTGGTAGCACAATGAAAAGCCGCGCTGGCAAATAAATATATATGCACAAGCTGGAAATAATTTCCTGGATAGGGGCTAACTCAAAAGCGAAAACTGTCTCGAGCTGTTGTAGAGACTTCATATGGAAAACCATTTGACGGAAAATTGTATCAACTTCCCAAGATACTTTCCATGATTTTTTCCCTCTTAGCAGTTGATATCATCACCCCCTAACACTCCAGTACTAATGCATAATATGATTGATGTACCTGTAGGGAGAATTAATTTTAATGAGAATAAAATTTTATGTTAAATGCTCCATTTTGTTGTGAAGTCTCTTAAATCTCTCAGCTAATACTCTACCCAGTACCCACTATATAAAATATACCAATAAACAAATGCATTACAGTTACATCTTCTATAAATGAATAAAAAGATTATTTGTATGGCCCTTCCGCACCTCTGTAGAACTTTATAATCTACCTGGTGAGCTTTCTAAAGAATTCAAGGCCTCCTCTAAAAACTCCCTTTGTAGCGTACTGCTGACATGCTCGCCCGGATCCACCATTCCACCGGGCAGGGCCCACTCATCCGAATCTCTCCGCTTGATAGCGCAAAACTGTAAGATATACCTACAAAGTTTGCCCAAGTTCGATTAGATATCTGCTTCGGGTGGCACCTTACAAATTTGTGGACTGGTCAATTTCTCTTTTACCGTCGTCGCACAGCTTCCATCGGGTCACAACAGGATCGGCGGCGTGGTTTGGTCCCCATCTTCCCAATACCCCTCTCCCTGTAAGGCCCGTACGTCCCCTCGGATTGAGTGGCTTACCGTCGGTGACCGGATAAACACCCATGTGACTTTTACGGTTCACTGCACCATCCAGCTCGTTCCAATGCGGGTGAAACTTTGGGTCTGCTAACAGAACCGCGTGCGGTAACTATTCGGGCACGATATTTATACGTACCAATATCGGGATCGGCCCAAGGTTTACCGAGTAGATTGGGAGAGTTGTATTCGGGTGGATTGTACTCGTTGAAGGCAGCAGTCCATGGCACCAAGTTATCGGGAAAGTTTAATCTTTTTATAGCACCGAATGGGTAATAATTGGACCGACATTTAATGTGAACCATTTTTCTTATTATCATTTAATATTAAAAATAGCGTTTTGTAAAATCGAATTTCAAAAAATCAACAAATTTCCATTTTGATTTGGGAAGCAGTGGCGTAACTTTCGTTGGAGCCTTTGAAGGAAGTCATTGATGTAGTGTACGCAATGTAGAGGGCGTTGAAACATCAAAACATGTTTTATGTGAAAATCTTAGTTTATAATGATAATTATTGAATAAGTAAATTACTTATTGCATTCTGCAACTGCAGCACGTGATAAAGTTATTTTTGTAAATAAAGTTTAGGGGAGATGCATATTGCAGCTATAATTTTCTACTTGCACTAAAAAAATAGCTAAAGCAGTGTAGTGTCAGGATCATATAAAACAATTAAAATGAAACTCAACAGTAATCTAAATCCCTTTTGGTATATACCTACACCTAATTGAATTACTTCATTTCAATTATTTTTTGATGGAAGTAATTGTAATTGAATTTTTAATTGCTACAATATAGGTATATAGTACGTACTTTATGAATTGGTGGTGTTTACAAGATATTATAAAAGTAAGTAGGTACCTAAGTACAACAGTGGCCTTGTTATTTTCTCAACTACGTAGTTGACAAGTAAAAAACAAGCTTCTAAAGGAAAGATTGTTGCTAAAGGTTTAAGCTTGTAAATAAAGTAAATTTGATTACAGATTGTTATCAGGTGTGTGATAAAAATGAAAGATATATATGGCCTGATGGCTGTTTTTAACGCGTTTGTAAATTTATTTGTAAAAAGGTAGCTTTCCATCTCACTTTGGCTGGCTAGCAGGCAGCAAATTAGGGCCCATGCAACATGCTACATGATGTGTGGCGGGCGACAGCTGGGCATATCATCCGCGAGCGTGGTTTACTATAATGTGGACACTTTTCAATTTTTTCCTCTCTTCTTCTACAGCTTTGGTCCAATAGTGTTCAAACTGGTGTCGTCGCGTCAGAAAGATTTTGTAAAACGCGCACAAATTGCGTGACGGAATTTTGTGTTTTTTTAGGGGCGAAATTGACCACCTTTTGCAATGCGCCCCCGTTACCTTCCGCTGTGAATTTTGTCATGCTGTTTAAAGCTTCCAATCTCTCTTTCTCGTACGTGTCGCAAATAGAAGCTCGAGAAGTACCTACCCTCAAAAATTGAATACTACCGGGTGATCGAAAAGTAGTGCGGACAATTAGAATTTTCCGTAAAACTAAACATTTATAACGTTGATAACATACCAAATGTCATTTATGTAAAAGCAGTGGTGGATCAATTTAATCACTAATACATAAATAAACTACCTTCTAAACATGTTTGCCAATTCCATAAGTAAAAAATATTAAAAACTTAAAGCGCCCATTTTAAACTGTCTGCAGTTCTTTTTGATCACCCGATATATGTTTTGTGGAGGGTTGTTAGTGAAATTCACCAAAATGGCGCATTTATATGACTGTAGGGGTGTCAGAAGTGGGTACCGGCAAATCTTGATTTATAATTACATATACTTACACCACCAGTGCGAAAAGGATGGATTCTTTCATAACATTCGCGGGAACATTTGGTAACAAAGAAATTTAAAAATAATAAGATTTGGGAGGGAGGGGGTTAACTTAGAAAGGCTGGATAATTATTTTGAAAAAAACCGGCATTAATTACATCAAATTTGCTTTTTCATCAACCGAAGCTTTTTTTAATAAATTACGCACCCTTTGTATTTAAATTATAGCCATACTTATTACGTTTACCTCTCCTCGTACCATTAAGTAGGTAATACAAATACAAAATGCACTGTGCAAAACGAACATAATTAGGAATTCAGTATACATTATGAAAATTAATACCCCCAAAGATCCAAACAGTACCTACACAATAAAAATCATATGGTGCCAAAAGGATTCGGATCACAAATTTATTGGCCATGATGATATTGATCTATTATCAATACCTACTTTGTGCTGTTTACATGCCTAGCGAACCGCTATAGGATAACCTTCAGCTAATCTGGACCAATCCTTTTAGTTTTGATTGCATATTGATTAAATTTAGTTCATACCAAAGCTATTACCAATTGTATTTACTTGCAAAGCCTCTCAACTAATAAAACACAAATATGCATATACTTTTTACAGTAAAAAGTTAGAGACGACATCTAAAGCCACAGAATTAAGTGCAACGGAAAAAGCTCCTGAGCAAAAACATTTAAATTATATGGATAAATGGAGTCACATTTTATCTTTATTTTAGACAATGAAAAATCGGTGTAAATAAAGCAAAAAATTTGTTGAAACTGTTGACACAATAAGACTTCGTCAAATGTCTGGGCTGTGAGATCCACGCTCCAATTTCAACGTATAACGAGCATGTTACCGAATTGACATCACTGGAAGAAATTTCTAATTTGTATTGTTTTTTCATATATCTTTTGTACACATGAAAATAGTAAATAATCAAAATCTATAACTATGATAATACCCAATTTAAGACTTTACTATTGACCCTCCCTGTACACATGCCTAGCGTTTGGTATTAGCGGCAACGGCGGCAACACTGAACATAACCGTCTCTTCCTTGAATTCTCAAACTTCTAACCTCAAAATTTCCGTTTGCTTTGTAAACTTTTTTAAAAATTAAAATGGAGTGCCAAAGTTTGTGTGTTGAGGTCGTCTTAAAATTTGAATCGAGGTAAATTTGTCTAGTTTAAATCCAAAACAATATGCCATTCACTTTCTTTTAGTGATAAGGAAAGAATAAAGCTAGCGTGCGATTCCTTCTTGAAGTCAGGCCGATTTAATCCAGGAAACATAATTTCGAAATTGCAAGATCCTTTTCTTATTGATAACGTCGAGTGTATTATTATAGGAGACCATAGCGCTTTTGTAAGTGAATACTCGTTCACTATGTTCGTTTTAACAACCAAGTTTCTTCTATAACAGAATGCCCGTGCTATCAATTTTTCTCAAGTGGCGATCAGATGGTTTATGTACGTATTGGACCGGAACGGCGTACAAGTTGAAGCAGATAGTGATGAAAATGGTGAGGCTATTAACCTTGCAACCGTGCAGCAACTGCCCTCGGCTCACTACTATGATTTGTGGGAGAGTCTCGTATATGACACGAATGTTAAAGAAAATGTAGGTAGTTGGAGTATATAATGTCATTAAATGACTTCTTGCAGTTGCTGAAGTACGCTGCTACGTCAATGCTGTATGCCGACAAAGGGGTAAATTGTAACATAATCAGCTGCAACAAGGTCATATTGCTCCACGGCCCTCCGGGTACAGGAAAAACGTCGTTGTGTAAGGCCTTGGCCCATAAGCTATCCATCAGATTAAATAAACGATTTAAACGTGGTGTTTTAATGGAGATTAACAGTCACAGCTTATTTTCGAAGTGGTTCTCCGAGGTTGTTCCAGGTGAAATGTGTGCACGAATTTAACTTTTAGTAATTTTAGAGCGGAAAATTAGTCACCAAAATGTTCGCTCGAATTATCGAACTTTTACATGATCCCAGTATCATAATCTTTGTCTTAGTTGATGAAATTGAGTCTTTGACACACGCCAGGGAGAAATCGATGTCGGGTAAACCATGCTAAGAAAGTTACACTTTCTTTTATTTTTGGTCTTTATTTTTGAGTGGGCGGGGCTTCAGCCAAGGCCGCTCTGCCAACCCAGCCCACTATAAATTTACAAAGATTTATGAGGCCTCAGGGAACATTTTTGTTATTGTTGTAGGTGTGGACCCATCGGATTCGATTCGTGTAGTAAACGCAGTGTTAACGCAGCTCGATCAAATTCGCAAACACTCCAACGTGCTCATTCTAACAACATCGAATATGACAGCGGCAATAGACTGTGCATTTGTAGATCGCGCTGATGTTAAATTGTTTATTGGTTTACCGGGAGCAGAGGCTATTTACAAAATTTACCACTCGTGTATAGAGGAGTTATTTAACGTACGTATTGACTTATTGGAAAAATATACAAAGTAACCGTCTAATTCTAGGCTCACATTATAGTGCCTCGAGTATTATTACCTGATTCTTATCAGCAAGCTGATCAGGTTAGAGATTTAATACAATATGCCGATGCAAATACTTTGATTAATATTAGTGAGATAAGTGTAGGGTTAAGCGGTAGAGCATTACGAAAAGTTCCTTTTCTTGCACACGCGTTGTATATAGATGAAGATACAGTTAATATACAGAGCTTTTTTAATGCAATGATTTCGGCCATTAAACATTTAGAGGATGATAAAAAACATTTTACTTAAGTGTATAATTTATAGATTTAGATTAGTGGGCAATTTGTAACTGTTTTTTTAGATGTAGGATTAAAGCAACACTATTATATTTATTAATGTTATAAATAACAATCAGCTGGTTGAATGTGTTTCAAATCTCTCAATAATAGGAATTTTTTTAATGCAGTTGTCCTTTTATAACAAAACGGCAGTCACACCTTCATTAGAGATGATGTATGGTGGATCGAGAGATTGCATTAGTTTATCTGCAATAGACCCTACTTCATTAGCTCATTGATTAAAAATTGTTGTTTTGGTAAGTATAAGTTTGGAGGTGAGATTAAATTGTAGTATTCAATATCAATATTTAATAGTATTGTCGCCGCAGGTTCTAATCAACTACCGGAACGTGATTCGGCTGATTATCCAGTGCGTACATTTTAACTCTGAACATACAAATCTCCCATGTTCAATTCTTAAATATACAAGTCAATGCATTGATATGCCTGATAGTTCTGCAACCCACCTTACCCACTAATGTGACAGCAGTGTAATTGATTTTATGCTTATTTTTTTAAGATAATCTTATAGTCTTGTGTCACTGGGATTATTAATTTGTTATATTACCTACTCATTCTCTCTATAGCTATCTAAATGGACATGTTTTTGCAATTTTTGTTTCTTGTTATCAAAATTACAAATTACAATTAGCGATTTGTTTTGAAATGAATACCCTGTATATTATTGGGACATCGAGTGCATTTCAAAAATTCTATGGTTTTTGGGTACACCAAATTCGAGAATTGCTACGCACGCCAATGGGATTAATCTATGTACGTCAGGCAGAGGTCCGGTAAAACCGAACACTTCGGCGAAGAAAAACGATCAGGCCCGATTGTATTAAAAATCAATCTAGCCTACAGAAATAAATAAATAATAAAATTTTTATGTTACCGTAAATTCGAAAACGAAAATAATGGAATGCAAATTGATAAGGACCTTGGAGGCCCCGCCGGAGGTGAAGTGCTCTCGAAATATCTACGAAATGAATAACGACTCGATGGTTTTTCAACAAAACGACCTTTTCTCTGATGCCTTTCCTTGCATGGAAGATATTCGAAGGCTGGGAAAATTGTGCGACGTCGTCTTGAAGGTAGTTGCTCGAGTTGATTGTTAACTTACCCGAAACGTGTACTTTCAGGTTGACGACCAAGCATTTAGCGCACATAAAATCGTTTTGGCGTCCACAATTCCATACTTCCACGCGATGTTCACAAATGATATGATCGAAAGTCGACAGAACGAGATCATAATGCAAGGAATTGAGGCGAAGTAAGGTTTATTATTTAGAGGGACGGCGATAATTAAAGTAACGCAGTTCTTTAGAGGCCCTAATCAATTTTGCGTATTCGGGACGTGTCCATTTGGACAAGAATAATGTTCAAAGTATTATGATAGGCGCTTCTTTTTTACAACTTAACAAAGTCAGGGATGCGTGTGCCACTTTCCTTTTGAAGAGGTGAGTAACCGTGGACCAAGCCGGATTGTATTCTGAACGCGATTTCAGGTTGCATCCTCAAAATGCTTTAGGCATTCGACAGTTTGCGGACACCTTAGCTTGTACGTCGCTTGTGGAATCGGCAACAAAGTACATAGAGCATTGTTTTCCAGAAGTGTCTCTTTCGGAGGAGTACTTACACTTACCGTTAAACGAAGTTCAAAGTTTGTTGACAAGAAACGAGCTCTGCGTTGAAAGGTATCTGATGTAGTGCTATTGACTTGTGGTACCTACACAATTCAATTGCTTTCCTTTAAATTGATTTTTTTATTGTTCTCGGATAGTGAGGAACAAGTTTTTGAAGCTTGTATGAGGTGGGTAAAGCACGCCGAAGGTAGAGCTGCAGATCTTCCAGTATTATTAGCGCAGATACGATTACCTTTACTTTCTCCTTTATATTTGACGGACCGTGTTGCGACCGAAGAACTAATTCGTACTTCACATCAGTGTAGGTATGTTAAAATAACTCGACAACACTTTTGATTGTTAACTTGTAAGTATGAGTTTCCATAAAAACAGCATATTGTCATATGTTCTAAACAGCATTTTATATCGTGCTCCGTGTCCCATTTGAAATAAGAATGATGGATGTCATTAGAATGCACAATCATCTGTTTTACTTCCGGTTAAAGTGATCACTTTATATACGTTTACGGTTAAATAGGGACTACTCATTTACCTATTAAAATGTCCATTTAACATATACTATAAAATAAATTATATAATGCCACTTTATGAGCGCCATTCGTTCTATCTTTGTATGGGTTCTGAAGGACATTAAAGCTTTCAGTTCTTGTGTGCACTATATTGCCCATTTCAGGGGTTGGTTTATATCACTACACCATCTTTTGGTGCTAACGGATACATTTTGACAGGCATGATGAGCTTTATTCTGGTGTTAGACTGGTAGGTACATACAGCGCATTCAATTAAAATTTCGCAGGCATCCCATAATAATAATAATAATACTCCGAGTAATACTCTTTACTTCCATGGACACATGATTGTAGTGCATAGGATGCGTCAAAAAATGCATTACTTTACATTACTAAAAAAATCATTTAGAGAGTAGAAGCATATCTCTCTACAAGAACACGTTTCAGATCCTTTTTAAATTTAAAAATGTTTTGTTGCACTTTGACATAGTCGAGGGTAGAGTATTGTAAACTCTGACTGCAGAATAGAGAGGACCATTTTTTTATATATTTAGTCCACATTTAGGTAGCATAGATCGTGTTCTCTTATCCGCCACCGGAGGAGCGCCTTGTCCTGCACAAAAATATTAGGTTAAAAATTCAATTGAAGCTCTGAGTTGGGTCTTCTGCACGAGTGTGTCCCAATTCTAAATAAATGCAGCTGGGATTAATTAATTTTGCAGGGATCTTCTAGATGAGGCCCGCGTTTTCCATTTAATACCGGAACGGCGTCATCTGCTGCAGAGCTTTCGCACGAAACCGCGCACCTGCGAGGCTCAAGGTTACATTTACGTAGTAGGCGGACTAAATCGACACGGTATCGGTAGTTCCAAATCTGACTGTCACGTTTAATAATTTTGTTTAGGCGATTCGCTGAGCACGGTCGAGTTTTACGATCCGCACGCCGGCGAATGGCAGCTGGCGCCGCCTATGTCGATGCTGAGATCTCGACTTGGCGTCGCCGTGCTACGCGGCAAACTGTACGCGTTCGGCGGGTACAATGGAAAGGATCGACTGGCTAGTGTTGAGGTGTACGATGCCGTTCGAGAGGAATGGTCTACGGTGTCGCCTATGCAGTGTAAAAGGAGGTAATGTATTTATTTGTGCGATCGTTGTTATACTTCCATTTGTTAGTGCATTGGGGGCAACTTCGTTGGGAGATTTAATTTACGTGTGTGGTGGGTACGATGGTGTGACATCTCTAAATTCGGTCGAAAGGTATAATCCACAAACGAATTTGTGGAATTCCCTAGCGCCCATGAATAAATCGCGTAGCGCCGGCGCGGTTATTGCATGCCAAGGTAAGATTAACCGTGTACCACAGCCTTTAACATTGATTTAGGTTATGTGTATGCACTGGGTGGTCACGATGGCTTGTCTATTTTTGATTCGGTGGAACGGTATGATGTTGCTGCTGACGTATGGGTTGAAGCTGTGCCCATGCAGACGAAAAGGTTGGTTAATTGTTAAAAGTGGGGGGAATAAATGGTATTTTCAGGTGTCGACTGGGCGTGGCTATTTTAGGAGGGAAGTTGTATGCCTGTGGTGGTTATGATGGCAGTTGCTTCTTACATACGGTTGAGATGTTTGATCCCAACACGAATAAGTCTGTTCGTTTTACATGCGCCACACTAATATTTATAATTGCTCATTGTAGATGGACATATGTAGCATCTATGAATGCCCAGAGAAGCCGTGTGGCTCTTACTGCAAATATGGGAAAATTGTGGGCAGTAGGTGGTTACGATGGGATCTCGAACTTAGTATCGGTCGAAGTGTACGATCCATGTTTGGATAAGTGGACCTACGCAGCACCAATGATGGCACACGAAGGTGGTGTCGGAGTCGGTGTGATTTCATTGCCATGAATACAGCATTTATTTCCTCATTTTTGTGATAACATATTTTCTCAGTATGCATAGTGTATTTTTAGTGCATTTAATTAAATTATTTTTGGGGGTGTATAATAGGGGAATGAAAGGTGTGTGTGACGCCAAAATACCTACCTATACTATAACAATATGGAACTGTGATAGGTATCTGTATTGTTGGTTTGTTCAGATAATGGGTTGAATTATACATGCAATCATGAATAGTTTTTTTAATTTAAAAAAATCTCTACAATTGCATAGCCTGACTAACACTACAATTTAAACTTTATGTTTTTGATATTTCGATACTATTGCATTTGTTAGTAGACCAGTATTTACATACATCAGTATATACATTAAAAACCAAAATTTAACTTCCAGAACTTTTTTGGTGTGGTATCTGTAACCTTAACACTTTCTTTCATATAAATCCTTGTATTTAATACGTTCGAGACATTGAATCCCTTAGTCCTAGCCACGAACTTATAAATTAAGATGGACTGCTGATCAAACAGTTGCATAGAGGTAGAAATGGCCCTAGCATGGGCGCCGCCATGATGTGCACATTTTAGTTATTTTCTAGCGGAATTTTCCCAGTGCTCAAGTTTTGAGACTATTGCAGCCCTTCTCTAAGATTGCAGCCTTGGAAAATGACAAGTGTCACAGTAATTTATTTAGAAAACGTGAGGTTAATGTTGGGTTACTGCTTGCTTATTAGTTGATTTGAATTTCGCGCCATGTGAGTGCACATCATGGCGGCCCCCATCATTTGTTAATTCTGCATTAGCAGTCCATCTTAATTTATAAGTTCGTGGTCCTAGCACTCCTAGCCCTACATGAAATTATAGGGCGTTTGATGATTAAAGCAAGCCATTTTGCCTTTACGTTTTTTATAGAGCTTTAAGACGAGGATTTTAAAGAGCATTTTAAAAATCTTTTGAACACGTCCCACAGGAGTGTTTTTTTGCAGATCATTCACAAGCCTAGACCGCTTTATGTCTTCTCTAAAGCACCTTAGGTCATTACCCGATTCCTAGACCCTTACCAAAACATGCTCTCCACAAAGAACATTCTAAACTTGTTCAGAGCTTTTTACGTTCGTGTTTTAGGGGGTACGTGCTTTGTGGGAGATTTCTGAACTCTTGTTATGCTTTCTAGTCCCTAAATAGTACGTAGAGAGTTCCGAGAGAAGGGACTTCTAGAAAGTGGTCAAAGATCCTTGAAGTCTTTCTAGGATTTTCAACGTTTTTAAGTATATAGCACCTTTCAGATTTTTGTAAGACCTAATAGGGTCTTTTACACACCCCGAACCAATCAAAAATTCCATTTTGTAAAGAGAAATTAATTAATTATCTTTAAAATTGATGTGGATCAGCTTATGCATACGCCCCCTCGATCTGAACCCGCGGTACGAAATAAACTGAGATGGACCAATGAGCGTCCAGTTACTTTTCATTCGGCGGCGCGCGCATTTGCATCCCTTGTGGATATGCTAGCCACTGCTATTTTGAATTTGAACATAACCTAATATCCCATCATCCAGGCAGGAATTTAGGTTATAATTTGTGTTGAAGAATAAATAGCAAAAGGATACAATATTACAATTTGTTTAATTGATGTTACTTACGTCTCGTTCACAAATTAGAGCGTTGAATTTAAATCACCTTCGTCAAGCTGTACGTTCCCTCATCGTTACTATGGAAGAAAAACCGGATCCGTCGACCGCTACTGACCAACAAACAATTAATGAAGGTCGAGCGAGCATTAAAGTATCAGGGAACGTTTTCTACAATCCCGTGCAGGAATTCAATCGCGATCTCAGGTATCCGATCTCTCGTCGTGCCGAAAATTTGCTTAGTTTCCTACAGCATTTCAGTGTTGAACGTGTTCGCGAGGGAACACTGCAAATCGGACAAACTGGAGGCGGGTGTCAAGCACGAGGGCGGTATTCGAATCTTGGAGGCGTTATCGGCGACCGGTCTGAGGAGCATTCGTTATGCGAAAGAAATTTGCGGAGTTAGCGAGATTGTGGCGAACGACATATCGAGAAATGCAGTTGCCGCGATAAGAGACAATGTTAGGGATAATCAGGTGGAGGAATTGGTCGTGGCTTCGGAAAATGATGCTATGTGAGTATGTCAATGTTTCGTGCAGACTGTATGGAGGCATTTTCAGAATGTTAATGTACGAGCATCATTCGAAGGAGCAACAGTTTGATGTTGTCGACTTAGATCCATACGGTTGCCCGTCAAGGTTTCTAGATTCAGCGGTTCAAGCCGTTTGTGATGGTGGCCTGCTTTTAGTTACCGCCACCGATATGGCTGTACTGGCGGGAAATTCTCCAGAGACGTGCTACAGTAAATATGGGGCCATATCATTACGTACCAAGTGTTGTTACGAAATGGTAGCTTTGACTCGCAATTGTATAACATTATTACGATTGGTTTTCAGGCACTACGAATTTTGCTACAGTGCATCGAGTCACATGCGAACAGATATGGCAGGTACATTGAGCCGGTTTTATCCCTGTCGGCCGATTTTTATATCAGGGTGTTTGTGAAAATCTATACTGGTGCACATAAATGTAAATTTTCAACAAGGTATTTAGAATGCGCTATTTTAACCGTGCTTAACTGACATTTGTTAGCAAGTTATCAATGGTTTACCAATGTAACGGATGCGAGACTTTCACATTATCACCCTTGGGTGTTTTAAAGACGGCCGATAATAAACAAGTGAAGTTTAAACTACCGACAGGTCCTCCAGTTAATTCACAGTGTGAGCATTGTCAACATTCACACTTGGTAAGTAGTCACGTTTGGTCATAATGCGTCATTATATTATCAAAAATGCAGTACAAATGTGCGGGGTTGTTGTCACTATTGGATTTCTATTATTAAATCACACTGAAATTTCATGTGAAAAATACTCGGGTTAATTTTTCAATGAAAGTGATTTGTGACACCCTGTACTTAAATATTGCCGTGTGCAATGGCAAACTGGCACTAAGCCACCCACAAAACACGTATCCAGCTAGCTCAAATTAAAACAACCTTCAAATTTAGATTGTAAGTATTTTCCTTGTAGACGCTCGGCTCCTGTCACAATGAAAAATTTCAATGTTGACTTAAATTAATAAATTTGGAGACTTGGTAGTCTCGATCAACTTCCGAAAATTCTAAAGAATTCACTGCACAAATTTCCATTAACACCAACACAACCCTTGGACTTGAATAGAAAAATTTGAATGAAAACTCTATCTGGGCTGCACTTTGGGTTCGATTAAACAAAGAAAAAAAATTATTCCGCGAAATAAAAGAAATTAAAGCAACAATGCTGGAAGAAAGAAAAGCATTCAGAGCTTGTTTTTACACACATCAGGTACGCAGGCCGTCGACAAACAATGAAATAATAAAAAAAGTTACAGAAAATTAAATAAATAGATAATTATCTAAAAATCAAAATTACGCATTTACAAAAACAAAAACCAAACACTGAGATACAAACTCAAGTAAAACAAACCATACCATGATCGTAAATCCACTAGTACAAATTTAAAGCCTTCCGAAAGAGCTTACCCTCATTAATATCTGGAGAATAATAAGGTAAATTTACATTTGGGCATTCTCTATCAAAAATTGGACTGTATTTTTGTTATGATACTGAGTGAATCGCTATAGACAAAACAATTTAATTCTACTGCATATAGTTAGGTGGTCCTATTTGGTCAGCTCCAATCCACAATCCAGACTTTGTTCAAAAAGTCGTAACAGAAGCGCCTGTGCACCTTAATACTGTGAGACGAATACAGGGTGTACTTAATGTAATATTTGAGGAGCTGCTCGACTGCCCTCTTTACTTCATTTTGGAACGCCTGAGCGGAATACTTCATCTAACCACACCTCCAATGATGGAATTTCGGTAGGTGTCACTAATGCCGCCGTCGATTGTTAACTTAGTACAATTTCAGATCGGCAATATTAAATGCGGGGTATCGAGTGTCGTTTTCGCACTCGCACAAAACCTCAATTAAAACTGACGCGCCGCCAAAGGTAATTTGGGATATACTGCGTTGCTGGGAACGACTACATCCCTTATCCGATAAACGTCGTAGCGAAAAGAGCGCTGGTAATAATATACTGGCGATCAAGTCGGAGAAGGAGTACTCGTTCAGCAGTCATCCTCACGCCAATCCACCATCGCGACGTGAGGGCTACGTTCGGTTTCAAGAAAATCCTCTGCCGTATTGGGGCCCCGGCACACGCTCGACGACAATGTAAGTGGTTCTCAGCTGTGGCTTTGCTTTTTTTTAATTTCTTTGTAGGGTGGGCGACGCTAAGATGCAGAAAAGTAAGAGAAATCAGGGCAAAAGGAAACGAACGGTGTCGGAGTAGAGAATTTAATAAAATATATTTTCAAGCGTACCTGTTTATTAAATCTATCTGGGTATAGCGGGTAAGCGCATAACTCTATGTAATAATCTATGGCATTTAATGGGTGTAAGTTCGCCCCCTCCCCCCCAACTTTTAAAGGAGGGCAATTTTGTGATGCTCTTGACATGGCGTGCGTTCGGAAAGAAATGATGGCATGATACATACATGGTTTCATTTATTTTGATGAAACTGTTTTACTTATGGCAATAGCGCACTTAAGTAAGTGGTGATATTAAGAAATACATTACAAATCTGTCACATGCAAATGATTTTCATAGGTCGATTCCTTTAGGAATATCCAAATTACTTTATACAAAATTATTATGCAAATTCCTAAAAATACTCGACCCCTACTTTATACAAATCAAAAAATTTAAAATAACACAGTAATTGGGTAAGATTGTTTTCTGGTCGCAATTGATCATATTTCTTCTTGGAGAAAATCAGGTTCAATTAGAAGTATGGAAACGGATCGCTCCCAGATGGCACAGCCGGACTTTCTGCACCGCTCTGTTGAAGGTTAACTCCGTGTTGAATGGAAAATTTCAATACAACAAAAAATGTCCGTACGAATTGCGAATCTAAGCAATCCGGGTTCTCGCTCCCGAAAGTAACGCTCGAGGTTTTGTTTATGCACAGGAATAAAAATCCAACCTTCCACTGTTTCCATTAAGTTTTTTTTGTATCAATATTTTTTCGAGTTGTCTGCCATTTGACAGGTTCTTAGGTGACATTCCTCCTGCAGATATTTGCATTTTCGGCCGTGCGTCATTGTAAGCATATAAATTGACTTTATCGTATTGTGAAAATGGCAGACAGAGCTAAAATTTGCTTCACGTTACGATCACCTTTTATCCCTCTAAGGTTTTATCGCTAGACCTACTTATGTTCATGTTTCGTATGAAGCGGTATATGTGCAAATTTCCCTATGTTGAGTGAAATGCAAATTAGAAAAACTACTTTTTAAACTGTTAAGCGACCACCCGTTACAAACAAAGTTTTCCATATACTGCGAACTTTAAGTGGACACACTATATATTCTCAACAGAAAAGTTGGTAAAGGTACGGCACCCGAGACCCAGTTGGATGGCAATTTAGCGTATTGTTGAAACAGCCACAGCTTATACCTGCGTTCATTGCGTTCGGTCGTCCGTTTGTTCGTCTGAGATCTCAGGACTCAGACCTCGGATGAACCTACAGTTTTTTAGTTATAATAGGTGTTAATCGATCTATTAAAATGAAAGAATTTTAATTCTGCGCATGCGCATTTCAACTTTTTATTTATTTTACGGAATAAATAGTAGCTCCACATAAATAGTGTCAACTCCATGCGATTATATATTAGATTTTAATATTACCTACAAGTTTTACATTATTTTCCATAAGCTGTATACACCATAATCTACTTATCCATCTAATCAATTAATTCTACTTATTATTTTATCTCTAATCTTTTTTAAACAAAGTATCTTATAAATTACTATTTCGAAAAAAAGAGCAGCGCAACCTAAAATCCATCCAGAGATTAATATTAATATCGGGCAGATCATTGTAGTTAAATTTAATCCATCTATTTCTGGTGCTGCCGGTTGCAATTTTGTTTTTGATAACAATTCACTGAGCACGGATTTGTACCTAAAGAAAATGGTGTAACTCTTTAACACCAGAAGGCGCTCCATACAAATTATATTTTCATATCAACCTACCAGAAGGATATTATCCCAGCTGAATGCAAACGTGCAATAACTTCCGAAAACTGTTTCTCATACGGTGCTCCCAACTGTAACGCCCAAACGTGATGGCTGGGAACCACTTTGTTTTCAGTTAAGCACAAATCCGAAAATTCCTCCAGCGTGATTTCTGTCTTGCAATGATTCACGACTTTGTATAATAGCGCGCTTATTTCGTCAATATACGCCGCCTTACTATGTATAATTTCGTTTACGGCTTCGCATATGCTAAATTGGTTGCTTGTCTTTTCTAAAATACTTTCATATTGCTTATCTGTTTTGGCTTTCGCTTCCCAGGTCTCTCTTAGTATTGACCAATCAAGACTGCTCACCTGAAATTTTTAAATCGATTAATTTGGCAGAGTCGAACTGAGCGAGTGAAATATTTCAAAAGAAATCACATGATTTTGTTTATTGTAAACGCAATGAAACATTCTGTACTTTTGACCTCAACACTGTCGCGGTAAAAATGTTTTTAAACGTGATCACGCTGATTAAATAATGAACGATGATCGCAATGTATTTATAAGCACACCCGATAATAATTTCATCGAATTGGGCAAAAACTGGTCGTAAGCTCAAATTGAAGGTTTATTAAATTTTATTCATAGTTCACAGTCATAGATTATTAATTTTTGATTCGCTAATAACCCACCAAAAACGTGTAGCCGTGCTCTAAGAAATCCTCTAGGGAGTCGAATTGAATGTACCGAGAATCTATTAGCATCGACACAATTTTGCTCTTATAAACCGTGATCAAAATGATGCACGCCAAACTCCAGTTCATGAAGGTGATCCTTTTGGCGACGCTTTCGAACGATAAACGTGGCGAAGGTTGCTCGAGCATTATGCGTATGCCAACCTGTAAATGTCAGATTAGCTTAGACGCCTATTGAACAGTGGTAGTACCAGGGAGAAGTGGCAGATACTTTTAACCGTGGTAGGGATCTCATACTCTGGAATGTACCTGATTAGGAGGACAGTCACAATTAAAACGCAGAGTAAACATATCCACAAGTTTAATTGGAACGGTTTTGCGATCTGACGCCAAGAGTTCCACTTATCCTCCATTAAAGTACAGCGGTATATAATCGTGTAGCTCTCCGAATGGATAATTTGTGTCATGTCTACCAAGGCTTTACGTTCCGGACTTACCGAAATTCCTCCCACTCCCCAATCAAATTGACCATCGTGTACCTAGTAAAGGTAACAAACTTGTTCGCACCAAAGAGACCTTTACACCATTACATAAAGGGTGGCCTACTCACCGCTTCAATCATCAACCTCCATTTTCCCTCCCCATCCGTGTAATTAAAGTTCGTGAGCGAATATGTAAAATTTAGAATTTCGCTTACAAGACGTAGCAAGTTGACCTCCGGGCCCTGACAGGTTGTTCTGAAGTTCGCGAGTTGGAATGGTAAACGTTTGCAAATCACTACTTACCGACACCAAAAGAATGGTATAAATGGCATGTACGCTACGTTGAAGTGGTGACCATGAAAATTTTGATGGTCGTTCATGTAATGTTTTACATCTCCACCAATTTCGCGAATGTTGTTGCCTTTTTCTCCGCAGTAAAAGCATTTGCTGTGCAGCGTTTTTGTAAGGGCGTTAAAGACGAATATCCCTCTTGCTTTATTTATATTTTTTATTTCCCACGGTGATGTGTCATTGGATCGTGGAATCAGGACTATAATATCTGTGTATCGAATGAAGCTATTTCTTGCAGAGTTGAAATTGGAAACATTCCTTAGACACACAATATGTAAGTAATTATATCCAATGAGGCGCCATGCGAAATATTGTTTATCATAGTTTATTAGAGTTATCGGTCCTAAAAGGTAGCAGTTGAGGTGGAAAATTGTAATATAAAGGCAATATCTCAAAGATATAGTGGCGCCCTCTCGTTAGTCAACAGTTTATTGCAAATTTACTGTACAAAATTAGCTTCACTTACTGTTTATGTACAAAAGACCTTACCGGTAACATACTGTATTAGCACTTCTACATCTTCAACAGTATAATCATCAAAATGAAATGCAACACTGTAATCAGGAAATTGTGCTATAATTTGCATTAGACTATCGCTCCCGGTTTCTCTGCGAGCGAAAACGGTCCAAGCAAAGGTAAACGATACGCATAGCGACAAAAGCATTTCTGAATTCGGCGGTTATTTGCCACTTAAATACAAGTCGTTTATTTATTATTCATAAACTCGCACCCTTCGTGTCTACAGTAAATTTGTCGTTGCATAAGAGATAACCAAAACTTTTGATTTTCAGCCATTTTTTTCTAATTATAGTAATTTTAGGGGGTGGCACCGCACACTTTGACATGTCACAATGTTGGCTGTGAATAAAAGATTCATTTGTTTATGTTTGAAAAGGGATAGAAAAAAGGGGCCACTACATGTGTGTGCGTAAGGGTGGGTCAATACGTTTACTAGTGAATAATTTCGCAGAAAATTAAATGCAGTCATTATCAGTTCAGATTTTACTGTGTGTACCTACCCTAGTTTTAATCTTATTTTCTAATCAAAACGGGTGCGGGGAGGAGCGAGGAGCTGCATGAAACTAAAGAACACACCAATTCTGATATCGTTCGCATACCTGATCTCAGTCGAAATCTTAATCTCCTTATTCGTATCGTGGTCTTTCTTTATTTTATTTTTTGTCTGTGGGCGGGGTTTCAGCCAAGGCTGCTCTACCAACCCAATCCACTATACATTTACAAATACCCATGCCCGAACCCGGATTCGAACCAGGGACCTTTAGTAGCACAGCCGAGCTTCAACTCAACTGCGCCACACGGGATTTAGATTAATTGGGGAAAACAAACAATTAAGTCGAAAATTGATGATGATTAGTGTGTCACGACAGAAACGCTGCAGCGTTTTAGGCAGTTGAGAGAATTTTTGTTTATTTTTACAAAACGTGATTTCTGCATTTTGAGCTCACCTAATGGTTTAAAACTTCGATTTGTTACTTTCAGTTACATAACACGTAACAAAATTACAGTTAGATAAGCTCACAGTAAGCTCAGGTAGAGAGTAGAGGAGGGCCGGGGTGAATAATGGAGTTCTCGTACACCTAGTCTTTAGTAAATTCAAAAAAAAGGAGAGAAATAATATTTGCCGAAAGGGGGAACAGAGATCCTTGCTGTGATCTTGATCAGCTGAAGATATAAAATAAATGGCAGGGTAGAACATAAACAATGACTGTTGTCTCAACCGAGGGTAATTTAATAAATGATCTCAAAATATTACAAATATGGCATATCTAGACTTTAAATGTCAACGTTTAAATTTAATTGAAATTTTTAGCAAAAAGGAATCGTAGCCTGGAAAATATCAATATCAAAACAGGCTTCCGCAGAAAAGAACGGAGAGCTATAATTGTTAAATGATATTCAACAAATACATTAATTACAATTTAATTGTATGGAAAAGCAGTACGTAATCAAACGCTACATCAAGGAGTCGTCGAAAATAAAAATGTTATTATGAAACGTCGTAACGACCTGTGAGCTCAGAAGAGCGCTTTTCTGCTTTATCTGTAACAGGTAACAAAACAAACAAGAGGGGTGAATAGCGCGGCAAAAAATTTCTGATACTTGTTTCGTGTGAACCCGGCTTTTGTGTGTCGGTTTCTAATTTTGCCACCGATAGAATGTGTCTCCGGTTCCGCATTTTCTAACCTCAAAAGTTTTTGAAAGTAAACAGCACTTAAATTGTGAATAGTGTAGTGAACGTTATTCTTCAATACTTTCAGATAAAAATGGCAGAAAAGTCGAACGTCAATGAAAAGAAACTTGAAGATTTAACTATCGAATTCGAATACATCGAGGCGGGCCCGAGTAACGTAAATATTGAGAACGCCCCAATTGAAATTCAAAGTGTAGTTGAACCCGAGGACGCACCTCAATCGGGACCTGGGGAATTCATTGACAAATACTTATCGGGTGAAATTCCTTTTGATAATTACGAGGTTTTACTCGATGAAGAACATAGTATTGAAGAATCATCTGAAGTCACGAAACCTACACGAACATATAAAAAGATTCCCGCTCACATTAAAGCTTTGATTGGGGAGGCGAACTTACGTTTCGCGAGAGGCGATCGAGAAACGGCAACGAAAATATGTTACGAAATAATACGTCAACACTGCACATTTTCGGAACCCTACATCACTTTGGCTCAAATATTTGAAACCGACGACCCAGCTAAAAGTCTCGATTATTACATGGTGGCCGCACTTTGCAACCCTCGAGATGTGAACTTGTGGACGCGAAGTGCACAGCTTTCTCTCGACGCAAACAAGGTGAACCAGGCAATTTTTTGTTACACGAACGCGGTACGCGTGCAACCTCGCAACATAAAGCTGCATCTGAAAAGAATTCAGCTACTCAGACGTGAGAAGGATACAAAAAACATGTTACGCTCGTATGTGAAAATGATGCAGTTTTTAACGGCGCCGTATTACGATTTCCTGTTACAAGTTGCAGTAAAAGTTGCCATCGAGTATCACCAACTGAACGAGTATAAAAAAGCGATCGATGCCTTGAATATACCATTTCAGAAGTGCCCCGACTTGATTACCCCCCAAATGGTGAACATAATGTTGGAGCTGCTGATTTTGAACGAAAATTACTCGTACTGTCTCGATATCTTCTTGGAACATTGCAATATCGAAATAGAGCTATTGATCGTGCTCGAGAACCAAATCCAGGTCAGTGCTTAGTTACCTAATTCAAAATAGTCATATTTATTTGATCTAAATAAATTGATTACAATTTTGTCCTTATTGTTAAGTTTCAGTTAAATTATTGTAAAATTGCATATCGAAGAAAAAACAATTAAGAAATTCAAAAGGAAACATTTGCAAAGGTTAGCGCCGTGCTGACAATCCCATACGCGCGTTTAGAGGCGTTTTTGAAGCGCTGTAGAGTGGCGCCGCTGGTAGTGAAACATTATTTCACACTGAGCGGCGCTGCGGCGCGTGTGCACGACTTGTAGCGGACTTCCGCTACACAAACGCGCACTGCGGGTAGTGCAATCCCTTCACACGGCGCGATTCGCAGCGCCACTAGTAGCGGGAGGCGACATAGATATATAAATACATAGATACAGCCATACCCCAACATAGTTCAAAAGGACGTACCATCTATTACCATCACTTTCGGCACATTAATTACGTATAGCGCTATCCTTTATAGAGGTACCCTGAGCATGGAAGACAAGATTCGCATTATTTATTATAACTGTCAATCAAATTGTTAGCACAAATCGCACAGAAAATTATCATATTTGAGACTTTACAACATAAATAAACCGCCTTTTTATTTATTTAAATCGCATAGCAGCAAGAAATGTTACATTTAAAATGGAAGATGTTACTTAGAAAGCTGGCAAATGAAGAATTTGAAAAAATTACAGCTGACAACTGGAAGAAAGTGTGTGAACATGTGGAAAGTGATTAATTTAAAAGAGAAGTTATATTGGTTGATGTTTCTGAACTTTAAAATAAGTGTTAATAATGACAGTGATTATTCGGATTGTGAACTTTTACAAACGTAATGAATGTTCACTAAATGAGTATTATCACATTGGATATCATTGTTAAGATGTTGTATTTATTTTAAATAAATGTACACGTGTAGCTTACTTACTACAATTAGCACTATAATTTCAAAAAGAAACCCCACCGATTGGACATATATCGAAAGGTAGGGCAAGACGCGTAGCGACCAAAATTTGATATTGCACGCACACACAGTCTATAAATCTCGTTTTCCTAAGAATATTGCACGGATCCTTCTTTGTGATCATGATACAAACGCACTGCATCTAGGTATGTGGAAACGAATTCACTTCCTGTCGCAACGTAATCTCCGTTACCATTACGCCTAAAACCATGCAATTAAAATGTTGAACATAATCTTTACTTACTTACGGTTTTTTTGATATTCTGCAAGCCAGCAATGAATTCACTGCAGCACATTATGCCAAACAAGGTAAACATAGTCCCAAATTTGAATGGCGTAGCTCTATGTAATAAAACTATTTCAGGAATAACAATTATGGACGCGTCTATCATTATGGCAAGCACTAATCTTTATTCGTATTCAATTGATAACGCAATAATTACATAATATTTAGTGAAAAAACCGCCCATCATGTTTAGGGCGAATATTTTTAGTTAGATTTGATTTCGCGCGATCGTGAAATGTGTCAACTGTCACATGACTTATGAGACGCGCTAAGTTTGTTTTAAGCGTCCGATTCGGTACGACATAGTGGTTAATGCAATAAAAAGAGATAGAACATGTTTCTTCTTGGTTAGAAAGTAATGGAGAGATGTACAAATTTCTTTGATATGTTTTTTAAAAACCGAGGTACGTTTGTTAAGGATGGCTGTATCTAGGTATTTATATATCTATGGGAGGCGATTATCAGAAGCGCCACCACGCGGCGAAGTATCGAAGCTCATCGTACAACGTACAACAGTCAGTAGCGCTGCAAATACACGCCACAGAATAGCGTACCCTGCTACTCAGCCGCCGCCGCTTCAAATACGCCTAGTGCGAAGGGGCTCTTAGCCTACACTGAGCGTTTCAGTGTCGAATCTAGTGGACGTTGTCAGCTCTACGCATTTTGCGTCGTCTGCGTCTGTACTCCGCGGCGTATTAGCACGATACTGAAACGTCTAGCGGTGACCCATAATTATTCGGGACCGTTGGTTTAAAACTCCTAATTTCAGGTGCTATCGTACAATATGCCTGAGAATATCCCCATCGACTTGCGCATTAAATTCGTTATATGCGTCATTAAGTTGAAATCGTTTAACTTACTCGACAGCCTGATTGACCCGCTCCTGCTGATGGAGGAAGAGGTGGAGAGTATAGGCGATTTGTTTTTGGACGTCGTCGAGGCGTTGATGATGGTTGAGCATTACGAACATTCGCTGAAATTGCTAGTGCCGCTAATTAAGAGCAATAATTATTCGTTGGCCGCCGTTTGGCTGAAGTACGCCGATTGCCAGAGCGCGTGCGGTTTGTACGATCAGGCAATCGAGAGTTATAAAACTGTGATGCAAATGGCGCCTCTGCATGTTGACGTGAGGTATAATTTGGCCGAGGTATTGGTGAAAGTTGATAAGAAAAGGGAGGCGTTGGAGATTTTGGAACAGGATCCCGGGTGGGCTGTGATAAATGTTCGTATGTTTGTCTTTAGGATCAAGCTATTGAAGGAAATGGAAGAGTACGATCAGTATCTGCAGGCGATTGAATTTTTGATATCGAGGCACTGTGAGAAAATTAGACATTTTGAGGAGATTCGGGCTGTCACGTACGTCGAGCGTCCGTATGAAAAGGTAAGTGCATAAGCGAGAATAGAAAGGTCAGTGTTTGGTAAGAAAGACACTTGTGCTAATGTTTTCTTACAAAAATCACGATCGGGCGCATTGAACTAAAAACACAGGGAAATGTAAGGAGTAAAAAGATCATAATTATAAAATTTGTTTTTTGTTACAGGTGGCGCGCTTAAAAAAATTGAGAGAGTTCAGAGAAGAAAACCTGGACGATAAACCCCAGTTCTCTACCGCTTTTGAGCCGACCGTTGAAGAGGAATACGCCATTTTTTGTGATGCGATTGAATTATGTATGAAAATGAAAAAATTCGTGACAATGCAACGATTAGTTTTCACCGCGTTGACATCTTTACGTTTTAAAAACAAGTACGAAGAATTAGGTTTAATTGGGTTCTTTTCCTGCATGTACAACAAGGACAGCTTCCACGCTTATCCGCTCATACGCGAGATAGTCATACACTACCCGAACAACAATTTAGGATGGAATTTATTCAACGCCTTACTGCAGCGCGCCGACGACCTGAGACACACCAGGTTCATGATGCGCTTTATGTCGAGTTACACGGAAAAGTCGTGCCTGAGACTACTCGAGGCCAACTACTGCCTAGCAGTTGGAAACATTAAAATCGGCCTGGGCTACTACGTCAGTCGTCTTCGCAGCGATCCCTCTCCGCTCACATGCATGCTGTTGGGCTGTGTCCTGCTGTACATTTTCGGCCAGAAATTTACGCAAAAAAAAGATAAGGTCACGAAAACCGCCCTCTCCCTCTTTCTAAAGTACTCGACGATGAGAAGTAAGGACGCCTACGAGGAGATTTACTATAATCTTGGACGAGTCTATCATCAATTTGGCATTCTGCATTTAGCGAAGTACTACTACGAGTTAGTTTTAAATTATAACAACCCGGTAAGTCAGACGTGTCCTAATTTAAGTTTAAAACGAGAAGCGGCTTATAACTTGCATATTATTTATAAGAACAGCAAAAATTATATAGCCGCTCGAAACCTCCTACTTAAGTATGTACGAATTTAAACAATAAATATTTCATTTAGTAATAAATGAACTAATCTTTATTTCACATCTAATGACTCATCTGTGTCCACGATGTCTCCGGTCCTCCATCTATCTCTGTTGTACTCCTTACAACCGGTTTGGTTTTGAATTTTCAACATAGGAAAATTTACACATATACCGCTTCATAGCGAACGTGAACAAAAGCATGTCTGGAAATAAAAAGCGACATCAACGGGTGGTGCAGAAAGTCAACCATCGAAACGATCTATTTTCATATTTCTAAAGGAAGCGGCATTTTTCCAAGGATTGCATTTGCTTTCAGTGATTCAATTCCTTTGGTTGGATTAAAATTTTATTTAGCATTCAGAGGTGTGCGCATATTTTCAACATGAGAGTTTGAATCATAAAAAACTGGAAACTTGCGCGCCACTCAAACAATTCTCATTGTTTTTGAAATACCCGGTATGTACACTTCTGACACTAACGGAACCTGCGACACCGTTTTCTTAGTGGCAACATTGTATTAAGTCAGCTGATTTTGACAAATACAAAATCAAAATTGAAAATGGGCGAGTTAGAAAAAGTGTCATTGCTATTAGACAAACTGTGTATAGAAGCATTTATACTAATGGAACAGCACATAGAAACCAAAATTAATTTGGAACGTTCCATGTGTGATGGCGAGACATTCCTGGCAAAATCGAGGTACATCATGGGGCAAAATTGTGTCTCGGCCTTGCAGCTACCCACAGAAGACAGCTCAGAGATGGACGCATCTGCCGTCCTTCACTCGCACAAAGACGACACGGCGTTCGGGCAACGACTGCTTGAATTAGAAATAAAAAAGAAGTCCTCGGACCCCGACTGTCGGATCCAAGATCCACTGCGTTGGTTCGGAGTACTGGTACCGCAGGATTTACACAAAGCTCAAGTGAAGTACAAGCAAGCGCTTTCGTGGTGTGTGCAAAGTGTAAACGTTCAAACTAAGCTACACGAGACATGCACAAAAATTAAACAATTGAAAAATTATAAAATAAAGCTTATGATGGAAGAAAAACAAACTTAATAAATATTTATTGGTTAAATTCATATTTACCAAAGTAAGAGGTTTCCGGGCCGCAAATTATACTCCTCTTTTTAAACCTAAAGACTGGACAGAACACTCTTTCTGTATATAACTTGTATCTCTTGAGGAATCGACAAAGAAAAGGTTTGGCTCTCTTTTGTGTTCATCTTATTTTATTAAAAAAGCGAGTAAATTAGGTACCATTTTATTTACAATACAATTACGGATATTACCCTACATAATACATGATAATATTTACAATACAAATTAGATTTAATAAATTAGGAACACATTTCTTTTGTGGGGGGTTTTTCAGGAATTTTTCCAACTTCAAAATTTTCCGCCTGGTACATTTTGATCTCGTCCTCATTAAGATCTTCAAGTTTCGAGTACGCGCTATCATCTGTAGCAAAACCCTGTGCATTGCTTCCAAATGCATTTCCACCAAAAATTGGTGCCTGAGTGACTGCCGATGGAGGAGCATTTTGAAATAGTGGTGCTGGTTGAGGTTGAGCAGTGTTTTCCATTTTAAAAAAAGGACTGTTGTTTGCTAAACTGTTCGTTAGGGGACTCTGATGTTGTACGCCGCTCGTGAACGATGGAGTGGGTTGCACGAATGCATTTTGATTATTTCCAAAGAACGTTCCTGTTGTTGGAGCCGGTTGTGATCCGAATAATTTTTGGTTTGCTGCTGCGAAGAACGATTTAGCAGTGTTCTGTTGGTTTGATGAGAAAAGATTTGAATTGGGAAAAGCGGAGCTTGGTGCCAAATTATTACCGTCGGACGACGAATAAAAGGAATTGATGGAGTTAATTACGTCTGAGCTAGGATTTTGAAGAAATTTGATCTGCATCATCGCCTTTTGCAGAATCATATGCAGTTGCTGACACTGAAAACCAGATTATTTTAGTCGTGAGAATGACGCCAAACGAGTACGCACATATTGGTCAACAGTTCCATTCCCTCGAGCTTCGTAGTAACCCAACCTCACTTCCTCGAAGCTTTGGTCTTCCAGCCCGGGAAAGCTAGGCATCTCCTTAATGGGAGAGTAACAAGAAAGTGGCCACTGATGGCCCTCTTCTGCTGCCGACATGTCACTTTTAACGATCGAGAGAATAGTATTCTGGTTTGTTAGGTCGAGCTGTGGTTGTGGTGGGTATTGCTCTTGTCTTAAAACGGAGGTGTTGTTCCCTCGATATCGATAAACATCTTTTAAGTTCAACTATGGCAGATCACCTGTACTTTAGGCTCACTTACCATTTATTTGGTGTTCAAACTTGCACATGTCTCCAAATTTGCAATTTCCTTGCAAAAAAAATCTGCAAACAACCATTTCTTACGTTTGAATAAATTGTTCTGCACTGCAAAAATAAAAAAAAAACTTTGACAGTTGAGCTAGTCAAATTATTCCACAGCTGAATGCTTTCATTGTTCTGTTTCTAGCGCAGCATAGAGATCGCTTATCACGCCAAAGTTTGTTTGAGAGGTCATTATGAACAATAAAAATTCCACCTTTCCTCAATAAAGTTTAAAGTGCAAACAAATGAAAGCAAATGATCTACATCACAGTACACTTAACCTACTTCGTAACGATTTGACTACTAAAGCTAAAAGTCGAAAGGCGCGAAACAAATAATGATAGTTGGGGAAGCCGAAGCGGTTGAAAAAATGTTATACGCTCGCATTATGACAAGAAGAGAATGAAGAACATACAAAATGGGTTACAAGTTACAAGCAAAATACAAGGGATCGTGTGTGAGCATACCAAAATTGCCGTCAAATATACGTATAGAGTAGGAAGTTTACTGGGTACATCGAGAAAATAGCACACCATAGCACATGTGGCCCAGTGGCAAAGATACAGAAAGGCATCCATATAGAGATCGATGAAGATGACGACAAAGATAAGAGGACTGTTCAATTCCCAGAGGAACTACACGGGCAAAGCCCAGCAGATAGAGAACACATGCGACCTCTCTTAAGGGAGTATTTCCCATTGAAATAAAAGACTAGTATTTCTAGATTAATTTTATGATGAATAAACTAATCGCATTGATTATACACATTGTATAATCAATGCTAATCCGTTCAACTTAAATGTAAACGCAGCTTTAGACCGCACTTTCCTTCTAAGTAGTTCGAGTGTCTTGTAGTAGTTCACATGTATTCTAACCTATAAAAAAACTAAGAACCGGTGTTGAATTGAAAATCGACGAAATGGCTTCTGTTGAAAAAATAAAAGTATTAAACGCGATTAGTCTGCAATTTACTACTCCTTCTACTGTTTTAGGGTCAAGTTGGAGGAGATATAAAGGAAAAGAAGCGAAAGGAGTCGATTCTCGACCTATCGAAGTACCTAGAAAAAAGCATAAGGGTTAAGTTCGCAGGTGGCAGGGAAGCATCTGGTATACTAAAAGGCTACGATCCTTTATTGAACTTGGTGTTGGATAACACAACAGAGTATCTAAGGGATCCGGACGATCCGTACAAATTAGCGGAAGATACAAGGGCGCTGGGCTTGGTAGTGTGCAGAGGTACAAGCGTGGTGTTGATCTGCCCGGTAGATGGAATGGAAGCAATTCAAAATCCTTTCATTAGTCAAGAATAAAATTTAATAAGAATGTAACAATATTTTTTTTTACATTAATAAATAGATCGTGCGGTAACTGCTATTCTCTGCCAAATTCGTTTCTAATCCACGGATAGGAATTTGGACAGTCACTACAGGTGTATAAATACCTTTCTTGCTGTAATATTCGATTGTTAAGTTTGCATACGTTTGGTGTCTCGCAAATCTCATCCGAGATGTCTTTGCAATTCCATGCTGGGAAATTGTGTAGGTGTTTGAGTGGTGTTGGTTTCTGGATCCATTGAAGTGCTTGCCAATTTGTTACAAACCAAACGTTTGGTTGTGTAAGCATTTCATCCAGAAATCTCTGGAAAATACTATTATTTCTCAGTTACAATTATAATGGGGTGGATACCTCAAATGCTATTAGATGCTCGGGTTTTTGAAACCAAGAGGAATGAAAGTTCAATCCAAAAGGCGCCCGGTTGGTAAAGTAATGCCTTTTAAAATTTTGCATGAGAGTTTTGTACAGACTTTCAACTGTAAAATTACCAGAGCACGAATTTATAAAAGCACACGTGCGATTGTTCACTGATAACTCATTCAACACAAGCTCCCATACTCCTGGATATGCACGCAAGGGACACTGGTTACTTTCTGAAAATTAACTTTAAATTTTAACCATTTTCTGGAAAGAGGAATTTTGATTATTTCTACTTGAGTACTTAACAAAAACAATAATAAAATTGGCATGAAAGTGCAAATTGATATTCACAATTCCATAACACTCTATTTCACTTTTACTATTTTACTTGCTTAGAGGTAACTAAAAAAATATCTCCACGAAGGATTTAATGTGTCTTAATGTGTCGATCCTTCATGTCCAGAGCTGTCACAAATCGTTTAAAAAACGATTTAAATCAAAGATCAAAGATGCATTTCATTTTAACAAATGATTTAAATCAAAGATACTTTTGTCAATAAGAAAGTATTTAAATAATAAATCATTTTGAGATTTAAATATTTTTTGTGATTTAAATATTTTTTGTGATTTAAATCTTTTTAGAAAGTATTTAAGATACTTTCAATGTATTTAATTCATTCAAAAAGATTTTTTTTTTTTTTTTTTTTTTTTTTTTTTTTTAAGGCGTCGACTACTTGGTCATTAGCCTATTGTAAATACTGTATAAATCATAACATGTCGAATATATTTGCAGACCTTAGGTATTTTATTACATTTTTAAGATGTTGTGGCTGTTTGAGTATTTCTCCTACTTCATCTATTAAATGAAAAGATTGCCTGATGGGCTCCAGTACCGGACACTCCCTTAGGATATGTTCAACAGTCATTTGATTACCGCAGCGTACACAAACCGTAGGAGGCTCCCCGCGTAACAGATGGGCGTGCGTTATTTGCGTATGACCGATTCTTAAGCGGTGGATTTTCACTCGCTCAATCCTACTGAGAAGTAGTGGTGGTCTCCATGGTTTAGGGTGTACTAATGCTGCTCTTAAAGCTGCTTTTAGGTCCAGATGCCTCACTACCTGAACGTCCACATGTCTCACTCCCGTGGCTCTTTTAGCAGCTTCGTCTGCCATCACATTGCCACGTATACCAACATGGCCAGGTACCCAAATCCAAAAAATGCTTTTCCCAACCTCGACAACATTGCTGTAAACAGCCTGAATCCTTTGCACTAGTGGGTCCCGAGGAAATCGAGATTTAATACTATTTAATGCGCCCTGGCTATCACTTACAATAGCAAAGCTCTCCTCTGTATTGCTCATAAGGCAGAAAAGCAGAGCTTGCCATATGGCATACAGTTCGGCACTGAAGATGGTGCATGAGGAAGATAGAGTCCACTCATGTGTTTCGCCATCTACATAGATGGCACATCCCACACCCGATTGCGTCCGCGACCCGTCCGTATAGATAGCCTTAGGGCTATGATACTCTTCCATAATGGCGTTAAATTTCCTTTGAAACTTTATAGCAGACGTGTTCTCTTTCTCAAATTGGGTCAGAGCAAAACATGAAACGATCTCAGGAACCATGCAGGGGGGAGCTTCTCCAAATCCTACAGGTAATACTGTTGGCAGCCCAACATTCATCATTCTTAGTAGTTCCTGTGCTCGTACCCCAGTAGGTCTTGTTAGTGAAGGTCTATTCTCGTATCCAAGACGATCTCCAAAAATTAAATCCAATGTTGTTAATTTAAATCTTGCTCGAAACTCTCAACATCATTAATCAATATACCTACCATTTCTACCGTATCTTATTGTTATTATTTATTCAATTAAAATATGTATTTTTTTGCGAAAGAAATTTTAAAAAACCAAGACATCGTCAATCTCTGTATACTAGATTTTGTAATAAATACATACCGGGTGGTGCCTAGCGCGACGCAGTATAGGGATTTCAATGGTAATTTCTTTATAGCCAATTACTAGCTCCCCTAATTATTTTAGAGCAAAAGTCTAAATACGGTTATAAACAAGTACCTATACATTGAATATACGTGAAAGGCAAATAATGAAAAGTTACATTGTTTTTTTGGGCAATTCGAAGGCATATCTGATTTATTTTGTCGATTTCTACGGTTTTGAAAAATGGAAAATTATAACTAATAGTATGAACAGATGCAGTCTTTTTTTCTCTGAAAAAAACGTATGTAGAATTTTGCTCTAAAATAATTAGGGGAGCTAGTAATTGACTATAAAGAAATTACCATTGAAATAAATCCCTATGCTGCGTCGCGCTAGGCACCACTCTGTATAAACGTCTCCCGAAATAAAACCCGGGTTAATTAGCTTACTATCAGGTTGAAACAAATCAAGAGAATTTGTTAGTATGTATTTAAATCGTCTCTAAAAGATTTAAATCACTCGGAAACGATTTAAATCTTTTCGAAAGTATTTAAATCTTTTTAAAAGATTTAAATCATATTTTTAAGTTCAAAATCAAAGATAGTTTTCATGAAGATTTAAATCTTAAATCAAAAATCATTTTCCGTAAAAAGGTTTAAGATCAAATGATTTAAATCGAAAAAAGTATGTAAATCATAAAAAAGATTTAAATCTTATTAAAAGTGACAGCTCTGTTCATGTCACCTACCGTTAAATCTATCTAGCAGTTCCTCCAAATCTTTCAGATTCGCATGACCCCCAAGATTCATAAAATAAGTGACATATATGAAGAAATCTAAGTTCCCTTCCGCATCAGGTAGTGTCCTACTTGGACCTTACCTTCGAAGAAAAAATGCAGTTAAAAAACTCGGCCTTGGGGAAACTGATAATGGTTTTTCCCATTTAATTCTTCCTCATTTCATTCTCGGTAAAAATTCGCCCCTGTCGAATTGCTTGCAAACTGACTGAACATTGGAGGTATTTTTGGAATAGCCAGATGAGTTAGAAGACCCTCTATCATTGAATCCTCTATCTGTCTTTTTCTTGTGAAGAAAACAGCTCCATTTTAATGAGGGAACGCATGATAAGACAGTCAAAGTGGATCACTTAAAAGAAGTTGGAAACACCAAGACCCAAAAAGGCCCAGTGCAAATGCACGTCCAGCAAACGGAAATACGCACACTAAATTATGTGGACTGCAATGTAGTGCATATTGTGCAAACCGAAAGGTGCTGTTGGATTAAATCTAGTAGTACTTGCGCACACAGCTGGGCAGTATGCGATTTTGTAAATACTTTTTAGTACCTATTCAAATACTTTGTAATTAAATACTTTTATGGAAGCAGTATTTGTATATGTAACTCAAATACTTTCACAAATATTTAGTATTCGAATACTTCGCAAGGTATTTGAATACTTTGCGAAGTATTCGAATACTTGATCGCATAGTATCTGAATACTATACCTTCCCTTTTTACCAAAAATCGACTACTCCAAAATTTATAACTTTTGAACTAGTAGCCCAATCTTGGAACTGTTTGAAATTATGGATTCTACAGGCCACATTCTATAAGAAAAATTTTTTTCCGGGTCGTTCTGAGACAATTTTTTTTCGGGCTTCAAAAAAAGGCAGTGTATAACCTTCCTTTTTTACCAAAAATCGACTACACCAAAATTTCTCGGAAAAACACTTTTTCTTATTAATTTTGGTGCGTAGAATCCAAAACGATTCGTACTTTTTCGATTAGACTTCTGAATCAAAAGTTATTGACTAGAAACCAATTTCGAAAGAAAATTCAAAGGGCTGTAACTTTTGAACTAGTAGCCCAATCTTGGAACTGTTTGAAATTATGGATTTTACAGGCCACATTCTATAAGAAAATGTTTTTCCGGGTCGATCTGAGACAATTTTTTTCGGGCTTCAAAAAAAGGCAGTGTACCTACCTACTACAACCTTCCTTTTTTACCAAAAATCGACTACACCAAAATTTCTCGGGAAAACACTTTTTCTTATTAATTTTGGTGCGTAGAATCCAAAACAATTCGTACTTTTTCGATCAGACTTCTCAATCAAAAGTTATAGACTAGAAACCAATTTCGAAAAAAATTCAAAGGGCTGTAACTTTTGAACTAGTAGCCCAATCTTGGAACTGTTTGAAATTATGGATTCTACAGGCCACATTCTATAAGAAAATTTTTTTCCGGGTCGATCTGAGACAATTTTTTTTTCGGGGCTCAAAAAAAGGCAGTGTATAACCTTCCTTTTTTACCAAAAATCGACTACACCAAAATTTCTCGGGAAAACACTTTTTCTTATTAATTTTGGTGCGTAGAATCCAAAACAATTCGTACTTTTTCGATCAGACTTCTCAATCAAAAGTTATAGACTAGAAACCAATTTCGAAAGAAAATTCAAAGAGCTGTAACTTTTGAACTAGTAGCCCAATCTTGGAACTGTTTGAAATTATGGCCACATTCTATAAGAAAATTTTTTTTCCGGTCGATCTCTCATACATTTATTTGAGAACAATTTAGAAATGTTTAGGGAAAGTTTCCATTGTCACAAAATCAAATATAAAAATCCGATATTCTGAAATAATGATGTTACCTATACGTATGTACATGTATTGAAAATGATTTACGCTCGCTATTTTTATTTAAACCATGTGTAACGTAATTTACATATTCCGTGAACGTAATTTTAATACGTATTTATTTGAAATACTTTTCAAAGTAAGATAATGAAATACTTTTCAAAGTATTCGAATACTTTTTGAAAGTATTCTGCCCAGCTCTGCAGTTGCGCACATATGCAGATAGTATTTCTTTGATTAAGCAAATTGGTAGTAACAGTCGATTAGATTGGCGCAACAATTTAGAGATTTACCAAAACAAAGGCTTCCTAATTAATAATAATAAGTGAGGTAAAACTCGTAAGTTATACTTTCGCTTGTAATTAGGATAAATAGAAACGGATTTGTACTATCTTGCCATTTTTGTTACCTTAATTTTTAACCGTACCTGCACACTGGTGTGGTATTTTGTGGTCCAAACTGTAAGGCCACAAGGGCGCGTGTGAGAAAGGCGCAACCATCGAACTATCGTACACAAATCCGAACTCCTTCATCATTAAAAATTGTCGACTAGAACCGACCTTCAAAAACGGCACTCTCATCCCTCGAAGTTCGTGCAGGGGTATGTTCGCAAATTTGTTCAAAATATTCGCCTGCCCTACCATTTCGTCAAACCAATCCTCTAACGTCGCGTTATACGGCCACCAGTCTTCCGGTCCGCGATGACTATTTTATCAATGATTAGGCTCCTGTAGAACGCGGAAAATATTGTCTTACGTTATTGAATGTACGGAAATTTCGTGTCCCCGCTTCCACAGGTTCTGAGTGTAGTAGTAATTGTTGAATTGGTGGCTGATATAGAAAGTGGCGCTAATTGGGCAGCCGTTTGGATTTCTTCTGTTCGCCGGAAAAAGTCGATTGTACAGCTCCCAGTTTTCGGAATTGATGGCGTCGTTGAATGTTAGGGTAATTATTTGGGGTACTTCGGATGGGTGTAATCGGCCTGGTATGGTGGTCCCTAAAATGCATATATCAAAATTAATTAAGAGGCAATTCTTTTTGGGATCGGTATGGTGACACTCTTTTGTAGATCAACCAATTTTTATATGTATAGGCAAAATTGCATATGTACCGCTTCATAGCAAAAGTGAGCGCGAGTAGGTTCGATGACAACGACGCTCCGCTGAAAAGGCGTGAGTTAAGGAATAAGCCAGTTTGAAAGGAAAAACGACGAGACACTAAGTAGTCGCTATAGTGTGTAGATCGTTCGCCGAGTTTTGCGGTTAACGCTAAACTTAACAGTGGTAAAGTTTAACTTTCCTAGCTTTAGAGCACGGACCTCCATTACGCAAGAAAAAAGTAAGTACGGGTTGAAAAATCCAAAAGTTAGTGGAATCTTGGCGAATTAATAGTAAAAAAACGTTGAAGAAACTTAAGCTTCAGTGCACGGTGCAACGTCATTTCCTGGGTATGTAAAGAAGCACCTGTTTTCCGCCAGTTTTAGTGCCGAAAGTATTTGTGTTGGTTCTAAGAGTTGAAGATTGAAGGTACAGGTAATTGATTTAAATGGGACACGGTCAACTCGCCAAGGGCGACTCGCCACCGGACCACTCGCCACCGACTGACTCGCCAACGGGACAACTCGCCAACGGGACAACTCGCCAACGGGACAACTCGCCAACGCGACAACTCGCCAACGGGACAACTCGGCACCGCGACAACTCGCCAATGCGACAATTCGCCAACGGACGACTCGCCACTGCGACAATTCGCCAACGAAATATTTTTCCCTGTTTAATGTGTCATACAAATGCATCCCACAAATGCAATAGTCAATTTCCCTAATTTTGTAAAAAAAGTTTATCGAAAAATTGTAGTCAATATTTGAATGAAGACCCAACCGCCTATACCTGTTTCTATTAATGCATTTTGATATAACGACATCTTCTGCAAATTATTATTTGAACAGAAAATTTGACAATCACATCGTTGTTTGAACGACACATTAAACAGGGAAAAATATTTCGTTGGCGAAATGTCGCAGTGGCGAGTCGTCCGTTGGCGAGTTGTCGCATTGGCGACTTGTCGCGGTGGCGAGTTGTCCCGTTCGCGAGTCAGTCGGTGGCGAGTGGTCCGGTGGCGAGTCGCCCTTGGCGAGTTGACGCGTACCGATTTAAATTGTGTTTCAGCCGCCGTTATCGTAAATAAAATCTGTAATTAATTTGCCATTTGCAACCGTTCCCGTCAAGATATTTCAATTATCTTTGTTGCGTCCGAAAGTTCTTGAGAAGCAGAGGGCGAATTAATACCTCTTTGAGCTCAGCTAAGTCATTATATTAGCCGGTACCAATTTGATAAGGGAGCTTTTGGTTTGACCTGCAAAATTGCAAGAGACAATGGGCGTTAATTAGAATTATGAATTTAGAAATATTAGCAGGCAGTAAATGTAATTAGCAGTAGATAACTTGATGGATGCAGTAAATAGCATCCGGTTAAGTCGGGAGTGGTCTCAAAAGGAGCGCTCTTAAATAATTTGAATTTTAGGACCAATTACAGATTTTTAGGACGTCAGGACTCAGGAGTCACAACTAATTAAAGAAGTTTTAATTTTTGGATGTAGATAACAGAATACACCGACCGGCTTGGAATTTCCTACAACCCCTCCGGGGCGTGGCGGAACTTTATAAATGGTAAAGCCGTTGTTTAGAGGGGATTTTTTCCTTTTGTATCTCCGCAAGTTACGTTTCGTAAGTACCATCACTTTTGAGCTTTTTCGTAATTTTTTTCTGGCCACCCTACAGTATTTAAATCATCGATCTTTTGCCTTATGCAATATGCATATTTGTTAGTTTGCAAGTCACGCTAGCTGAATCTTTATCACCGTTTCGTTAAATTAAAAGGTACGCGTTCGATACCTTTCATTCTGTTAATTATAAGGGATGCTTTCCTGTATTTGATTTCCCGTAGCTACCGCTAATTAATTTGTGGTTTGTTGCTTGCGTTCCCGTCTGGGCATTCGCTACCGTGTCCGTGTGTGAGGGGGTCTGAATCTTACGTGACGGCTGATTTTTGTCGGGAAGTTGACAAGTATTGTTGGGGGCCATTCTTCGCCGAGTTCATCTCCCATCCGGGAGCGGGTTTGCCGCGCCGGGTCTGCTAGTATTATATAAAAACCATATTTGTAGCATTTTTTAAATAAGATCATAATTGATTTATTAAGTAATAATTATAATTAGGTACAATATTTAATTAATGACTATGATTAATTCATGATCATAAGTCAAAAACCCCACTACACCGACATTCATTTAAAAACAACAATTTTTTGTAAATGTTATCGGCCATAGTGGGTCCGCCATTTTGTTTGTTGGACATCTAACATCATATTCTTAATAAGCGCATGTATACAGTTTTAGAAGAATCGCTCAATACTTTCATATTTTGGCCAGCTTTTCGTGAAATATATTAATATAATAATAATATAATAATAATGAATAATATGGACGCATTAATCAGGATTTTGGCAATTTTTTGGTGACTAAATTATTTATAGTTGCACAACTAAAGCATCACAAGGTAGTTTTCATAGTAAGCAATGGAAACAATTGACGGTTTCAGCAGAGTCTGTCAATATCGTTGGCATAGCCTGCTTGACGAAAAGTAAAATGAAAAAGATACAGGAAAGAAATAACTCTATCAAGTGATATTTTATTAATTGAAAAATGTATTTTCAACTATGAGGTTTTAATTGAAATGCTTCCATTTCTTTTCCTTTTAGACATTGAAACAATAGAGGGCACCGTTAAAATCGTTGAAAAATGACCTTTATGATACAATCATACTCGACTATATTTGGTGTCGGGTATTATTAATATAGACACAAAAAATATAAAAAATCATTATTGTGAATAAATAATAAATAATAAATGAAATTCGGTTAGTGAAGTTTTCCCTTATTTTCTGCTTCTTTTTTCAAGGTGTAGTGAGAGTAGGCAAATAAGGCCGATATGGGCACACTTTGACCTTTAGAGCTGCGTATGCGCCAAGTTCAAGGTCATTTATTGATTTGGTTCTTATGTTTTTCCACGGAAACGGGCCTGTTTCCATTTAACAGGGATGCTTCTATGAAACAGATCTGATTTTAATGAACAACCCCGATTCTGTGCAGCTGACCTGTTTCTGATACAGACCCGTTTTAGTTTAACGATCTGCTTCTAATAAATAGGCATGTTTCTGTCGACAAACATAAGAACCGGGTCGAATTACCTTGAACATGGCGCATGCTCTCCGCAGGTCTCATGGTCAAAGTGTTGTAATGGCCATTTTATTTTATTAAAAATTTAATTCCTGTATTCCTACTGCATCGACGAAAGTATAAAACTTTCCATTGATTGTGATTATTGTACCCATTTTCACCGACCAGCACTAAAAGAAGATTTCCAACCGCGATCGAGAACACAGTATCGATATTTCGGGATCCAAAGCCACTATGCAAAATCTTCCCGAAAGCGGATCTGCGGAAATTGTATACGAGGCGTTAAAAATTCCATGCGCTTGAGGTCAGCGATTCGCTACAATTACAACAATTAAAGAGGTACATTTTTTTATTACTTGCATTTTCATTGCGAAATTGGTAAATCTACGTAAGAAGAACGAATTCGATGGACATTACTGTATCTTTTATAAAACCCCACAAAAAGAAACGCATGGGGGTCTAATCCGGAGACCGACAGGCCAGTTGACTGGACCTGCTCGACCTATCCATCTCTTTTCAAACATCTCATGTAAACAATTACGGACCTGTATTGCACAATGGGGCGGAGTCCCATCCTGCTGAAACCACTTCGCCCAATAAATTTGATTTTTTAAAAATCAGTGTAGATTTCCTTCATTTAAATGTTCTTCAAAAAAATACGAAGCGATAACCCCCAATACTGCCAGACCAGACGTTTACCTTTGGGAAATAACCAAACAAAAATAGAAATTTAAATTTTTGCTAACAAGACCTAACATTAACAAAAATGCATCATTTTATTTTTCGAAAAAGTACTTCAGCATTTATCAACTAGACACTCTTGTTCGTGGAGTAGCAAATGATGGAAGTGTGTAACCCAATTTGTGTAAAAGACTGGACAATTGAAAAAAATTGTTGCTAAAAGGTTGTTCCTGGTTGAGACAGAGTGCAGATTTTTCAATAAGATCCACAGCGAACTTACCGTCTATGGAACAAAAGCAATTAGGAAGGGTGCATGTGGTCTCGTTACACAACGTTGCTTCGTACGGATCTGTGGAGGGATCACAGTACTGTTCATCACTTCCGTCCGCACAATCGATGGAACCATCACAGAAGTAGTCTTGGGGTAAGCAGGTCCCGTCAGCGCAACCCAGTTGCTCCCCTTTTGTACAGTTAGCCCTTTCCAATAACGGTGGTGGAATTCTCGGCTCTATAAAACATAAAAAAAGTGGTTGACAATTTTCCAGAATCTTTCATTTGAAAGGAAGTCAAATGACTTTTAATGAGGGATGTAGGTAAACTGTACCTGCAGTTATGTCGCAGTTATCAACGTTAACTTTGAAGTCGCAAATTTGACGAATTACGTCAAATAATAAACCATCCGAGCAGCGGAACTCAAATACGTCGCCGTCTAAGCATAGGAAGTACTTGGAGCACTCTTGTCCGGTCCAGACCGTGTGCGCCGGCCGCTCCGGATCTCTGTAAAATCGCTCATTTTGCAGGCATCGAACCTCTCCCGGACTCGCGTAGCCTAAAACAATACAATGATATCTCAGCTTTAGCGGGGCCGGTGCAATTAACTGGTTAAGTTGTATTTTCTCTGACAATATACGGCTACCGCTGATGGAATAAACTGAATCCAATATTAAGCCACTTTCACATTCTTCAATTGTATAAATTTGCTATTATTACCTTTCACTTAATGTCATTTCGGAAATGGATACGTTGTCGTAAGGAGATGAAGTTCAAACATGAAATTGCGTCACTTTTAGGTCTCGACAGAGGCTTTTTTTTTTTAGATTAAATTGCACCCACATATAGAAGGTGTTTTTGGGAGCTTTAATTGAAAGTTTATTATACAAATTTTAAGCTCGTGAGATTTGGAGTTGTGGTCTTACATTTGTAAATTGGGATCTCCAACTTCTCGCGCATATTACGCATTTTTTATTTGTCATACAATTTATATTTTCTGGAATTTTTCCAAATTAGCTTTTCCTACCTCCTATGTACCTACCTAGTATCAATAATGACTTATTCCAATGCTGAATTGGATATGGGATGGGCGTACTGACACCAAAGATATTCTAAAATATTGTCAATATTCACACATTCTTCCTTATAAAGAGCCATAAATTTCATGTTTTTCTTTTTAGTAAGGGTTTGTGGGTGGGATGAGGTTCGGAAATTTGTAGAACCATATTATGGCTCTTTTGGGAACAGTTCTACACCGTTATTCAGTTGTAATAATCACTACCCACATCATTTATTAAAATCTTAGTTTAAAGTACACTCGCAAAATAGTAGTATAGTAAATTTATCTGTGGTGCTCATGAATTCATGCCAAGGTTCTCAATTTTGAATATGCAGAAACAACTAATTCAAAGATTGAAAGAACCTACACTAAACAATAGGGGCAATTTGTAGTCACACCGTATATACTGTAAGGGAGAAAAATTTAGGCATGTACCGCTTCATAGCCAACGTGAACAAAAGTATGTCTAGAAATAAAAGCGACAAGAAGGCGGGCATTTTCGTACAGGAGAATGGACCAGTAATTTATTGTGGTAAAGATGAATTTTACATAGGTAAGAATCAAATTAAGCCAAACCAATATTTTAAGTCAACGAAAGAAACATGGAATTTGGTTTCCTTTGTTTTACTTAACTAAGCCGTTACAATGTGGGTCCATTTTATGAGGTTTGGTAGTTAGAGTGAGTTCAATGGGGATTTTTGGTTTAGAGTTGGATTTCGTTAGGGTAACTCAGTTTCAGCGATCAAGTATTAGGAAGTACACAGCGTGTCCCCATTAGATTTATGCCAAAATGTTATCATTTTCAAGTGAATGGATTTTTAGTGGAGTTGGCGATGTATATGGGTCATTGGTTTCCGGATGTGTCATGACCGGTAATTACGTGGGAGAGGTTATCGGCGCTCGTCTGATGGACACTAACGCAATCTTAATACCTTTTACGTGACTAAAACCTCTGAATCAGAATTACTGTAAAGCGATGAATTGGCAATTTGTAAACGGCCGTGGGTTATGATAGAGGACCTATTTATACTGATTTGGTTAGGGACACAAATCCGATTGGCTAACGGTTAAAGATGGGCACGGTAACCTATTAACGCCATTATGTAGTGTGTTCTTTTTCCAAAGTTGAAACAGTAGGGATGAAGTCTAGAGGACCTCTAGTGAACTTAAGCGGATGAAATAATATGTTTCAAAAAAAAAAGTTAATAAAACCCATATTGTATCGTTAACGTGCTAATTTATCATACAGGATTATGGTAGTCGACTAACGCACAGCTATTTTTTATCATGCAATGGTGAGCAAGACGGTTTATATACAGGGTAACTCAAAATTGAGTGCATAGATTTTAAGGGCGTAGTTATCAGCCAAAAATAAGAAGTTTTTTTTCATATAATCGTGTGTCCTAACTGGCTTCGTTTTCTAGATACAGGGTGTAAAAGTTTTTATCAAACCTTTCAGCCGATTTAAATAAAAATTGGTAGGCTTGTTATTCGTCACACGGGCCTTACTTTGGTGGGAATTAAAATAAATAAAAACCGATTTTAAAAACAATGTACACCCTGTATCTAGAAAACGAAGCAAGTTAGGGCATACGATTATATGAAACAAATTTCTAATTTTTGGCTGGAAAATACACTCTTAAAATCTTTGGACTCAATTTTGAATCACCCTGTGTAATGCGGGGAGGACTTTTTAAGTAGATGTAAAGGCGAGTGCACGCGTTGTGAAGTGTGTGCTAAGAAGGTGTCGGGTTATTTTGAGAGGACTGTGGTCAACGTGCCAGATTGAAAGAAACTAATAAGGTAGGACTAGACCTAGAGAGCGGCAGTGATTCGACGGACGGGAGGGTACGCAACACAGCTACTTACGCAAGTATTTAGGAGCAAAAAAGTTATAAGATCACCGGAGCAAAAGAAAGCCGAAGCGGAGAGAAAGGCGAGAGAGCGAAATAGAAAAAGGGGAAGAGAGCGAATTTACGGAGGGTAAGGAGGAAATGAAAAGAGCGGCTAATGAGACAATGGAGCAAATAAATAAAATGAAAGAGCAGTTGATGGAGGAAACGGGACGATTAAGGGAAGGGAGTCTGGAGGGGTTTGAACATGTAGGACTAAGACGGAGATGCCCACTTAGCTCCACCTTATTTAATCTCTACTTAAGAGACATGGAAAAATATTAAGATGTATAGGGCCAAGGAGGAGGGATAGTAGAGAAAAATACAGTGCCACCATGCTCAGAAAAACCCCGGAAAATATGCGAACTAATTTTGAAATAATTCAGGCTGGCCAATAGAAAGTCTGCAAAACGACGCGATACATTCCGCGCCATAATTATTAATTATTCCGTTTTGACAGTTGACACTTTACGTTATTTTAATTTACACTTTGCTTCTTGTATTTGCTTTATTTTACGTTTTCCGTCTCCAGTTTTATACAAACTCTTCTATTTCAAGACGCATATAGCTTGGATCTATGATCTGATAAGGTATGTAATTCCCTTAAAGTGTTTTTAAATTTTGCATCAGAATGTACGGTCTAAATTTCTAGCGCCCTCGGACACGCCCTGTCAGGGACTTTCTGAGCGTGGTGCCACTTGTATGATCCCTGGCATACACAGACGACGGCAACAGAGGTAGCACAAATGATGGGAAGAATGGAAAGGTATTACGAAAGGAAGGGAATGGAGTTAAATGCAGAAAAGTCGTAGATGATGCGATTTGGGAAGGGGGTGGAAGGAAAAAGGAGATAGAATGGAAATGGAGAGGAGTAAAGAAAAAAAGGTAAAAGAAATTAAATATCTGGGGTACCAAATCCAAAGAAATGCAAAGAAATAATACATATTTACACGCGCGATGAAAGGTTTTCCTCGTACAAAAAACGCTTCGCAAATAAAGTCGCGCGGATGCAAAAATTACCGATTTCGAATTAAGTGATTACTAAGTTGCATAGCACATTTTCACATCGTTTTCAGAAAATTTCAAAGGAGGGGAGAACAAAGCCTAAACCATAGATGCGAGTGATTCGCAGATGAAATGTTTAAATTCCGTAAATAAATAAATTTAATTTATCTCGCCAGCAGCGTATCGATCACACCTCACCGTTTTGTAAGTAGATAAAATTGGGCCAATTACCTACTTATTATACAAACGTAACCCGGAGGGGCAGATTCTTATTTTTAATTAAAGGCATTGGACCAAGAACAGAGAATAATAACGTTCATTACGGATACTTACCATAAATTCGGTTCGTTCAATTAAAAATTCCGGGGCGCGTACATTTGGTTTGTAAAATACGCGCTTCTTTGCTTTTCTTTGAAATCGAATTTATTTCCTTACAAAGACAGGGTACTTAATAAATCGCACACTAATTTGCGCCTTGATGCTGCACTGTCGCGCTCTAACGACTAGGAATTATGTCACTAAAGTACCTTGTTTTACTAGACTTCAGAGAAACTTTATACTAAAAAGGAATCTTGTGTAGCGAAATAAAGGCGGAGAATTATGCAAAACGGTAATGCGCTTCAACATCGTTTCGTTACACTAAAGGAGGACAACCATTTGAATTTTAGGTAACAAATATGGAATGAGAACATTAATCTAGCTTATACTCACCAGGAAGTAAAACGGTTAGGTGAAGTAGCGCGATTCGTAGTAACTCTTGCCATGAACTGGCCATCACAGTGGAAAGGTAAACACTGTCGTTTCCATTTCTTCACGAAACTATTCACCTGTTCAGCTTTCACAAATTTTATTATAATCTCCACTTATTTATTATTCATGTCTTTTGCCTATCTGCTTGCTGATTAAGTCCGACATTGACCGTGAAGTCAAAATGGCGCATTTATGAAATTAACGTCGATTTCATCAAATCAGTCAGAAGGATGACGAAAGTTCCTCATTGGATGCCGACTACGTTTCATTTTAGTTTTAAGAAATTGGGCAATGTTTGTATAAAATTGCAGAAAAAATTTAATTCTTTACGCAAACCGGCTTAGATTCACACATTATAGTTTTGTCGTTTCCCACCTATTGCTTCATTTTATTATTTTTTCCAAATTAAAGTTTAATTTTGAACTTTAAACGTAAGTAGATCATCAATACAAAGGGTGGGTTTGTGCCGTATAGGTATAGAGGGACTACTGAATGAGGAAAGACTTTCCTTTTTACGCTCATGCAATAGCAATAGCTTCTGGTAATCCGCTATATGCAACAAAGATAAATAAATATTCATTATTACTTAAACAGAATCATTATGCAGATGTTCTTCATCGGGTATTTCATATTGTGTCATTTTTTAGCACATGGTGAATGAACGATATCCCACCTAAAACTGTACCTATATTTTGTCAATTTTCTCAGGGAAGCACCGATGCTCGATGAACTTTAAAAATTTCACCAATCCTAGACGACTAAAGTAATTGAATTTTATGTTACTTATGTACTTTAATGTAGTACAGTCGACAGGAACATCACTTGTAAAAAGTCGAGTATGTGGTGTCCTACTACTGAATGCAATTTTTTAGTCTACGCAGAGAATTGTAAAAGGGGGCCCTTGAATGAGATTTATTTTTTTAACACCATTTTGTAGGCGGATTTGGTAAAACTGAAGAAAGAGGGTATGCTTTTAGGGCATTAAGCGTGAATCTTTTTGTTCATCCCATTCCTTTCAAACCCTCATCTCCATTCTATACATCAACACCCTCTCATCATATTGTATCAAAAAGTCTTTTCTCATTCTCAATTCGTTTTTGAATTTCCTTTTTGTTATTCCCCATACCTGGCTCATCACGACTTTCCTCTTTTTTCTGAGTTCCCATATTATGCAGATGCCCTATTATGTCGTTGCATCTGGTTTCCATGTGACCCCCCCCCCCCCCCCCATCTCATCATCTTTAATTTTTCTACATTTAACTCAAATTTCTTTCTTCCCTTCTATCCTTACCTTAATTCTTGTCTCTCCTTGATTGTATTGTTTCTTTTCCTATCGTCCATCATTTTGCATACCTTTTCTCTTTCTACATTGCTACACGCTCCCTTTAAATCTTTGAAAAATGCTATCACTTTTCCGCTCTTTTCTTGTATTCTTTGCCAGTTTGTGTAGGATGAGTGCCGCACGCTGAGTGCCAAAAATTAATGCTCTGTGCAATGGCCAACTGTCACTAAGCCACCCACAAAACACCTATCCACCTAGCTCAATTGAATACAGTCGCTCACAAACACAAATAACATGAAACTGTTAAGATCCAGGGTCGCAATTTGGGACCAAACTGTAACAAAACTGCTCATTTAAACACAACACAAATTTATTCGATAATTGCTGTAATAAAGGTGGCGACAGTGCCAGCGACAATTACTTTTGTCTTTTCTCTCAACTCCTTCTCCATCTGTATCTGTTTCTATCTTCTGGACGCTCTCTTTCCCACCACTCTCTTCCATTGTCTCTCCCAATTACTTGTTGCCCCGTTATTGCATTTTTTATACACTCCTTCATATTTTTCCACTGCTCTTTGTACTTTCCCATTTCTTCTTCTTGTCTAGTCTCTTTCTATAAGTCTCCACAGTGTCTCTTGTATCTTTCCATTTCTTGATCTTTTACCTTCCCTTTTAGCCGCAGTTCCATCGGTTGGGGATTCGATTCTATCCTTGTTCATAACTTAAATTCTCTTATTTCTTCCAGTATTTTTTAATTTGCTAGTATGTAATCTATTACCGATCTCCCTCTTTATTTCGTGTACCTATTTTTTATCTTGTGTTTTCATCTTTAACAAATTTCCTTTATTCCTTGTTCTGGTATTTTTTAAATCTAATTTCTATTATATTTTCTCAATCTTTCATTCGTTCCCTGTCCTATATAGTTATCACGCGCTTTTTCTTCCACACCACTTCCACTCGTCTATTCTGTATGCCTTCCTCCTCTTTCATGCCCATTCCACTATCTCTTTCTTTTACCTCTGTTAATATGCGTCCGTTATATGTATTCACTTGCATTGTGGCGAATATTCCAGAAATCCCGATAGACATCGCTGCGCCATGAATGATTAGTCATCGGCGATAAAGAACGATGGTGGATGCGACGCAATATTTCGGGAAATATAACGTGTTTTGTTCTAGGACATTCGAGAGCATTCTAGAATGCCCAGTAGCGTTCGGAAGCACTCGAGAACACTCGCGTTTGCTATATAAGCAAACCGAATTGCGTTTCGGGGCAGGTCCAATATTTCAACTCCGAAGTAATAAACAGTTCGCGCTGTTATAAATTGTGTATATGTGAGTGATAAATAATACTTTTTACTGTTATAAATCAATTCATTTCGAGATCATTATAAATTAACTCTTAATTGATTGTAAATTAAATAAATCACTTAATTAAATTTACGTAGCAGGATTTTAACAAGACTTCCGTATGCGCAGAAAATTGTACAGTTTAGTAAAAATGCATGGCTACGCAACGATAACTTTTTGTGAGCGAATTTGTGTGCTAACAATGCTATAGCATTGTAAGGAAATGAATCATTCCCTTTATTCATAACCCAAATTGGTTTTTTATTTAACCGTAAGAAAGNGTAAGTAAGTAAGTAAGTAAGTAAGTAAGTAATTTATTGTGTTAATACATTTAAAAAATGCTTACACTCGTCCGTCGAAATCGTATAACACATAAAACACATAAAATACATGAGACATATAGAACAATATTAAATAACATGAAAAATCATTTAGAAATAAAACAATTAAACCAAACAAACAAACAAACAAAAAATACAAACAACAAAAAAAAACTTAAGGCGTTAAACAGTCTTGAGGTCGTTATCTAAAAACTCTTGGATGTTATATATTGGATTTTCGCGTAAAAAAGTTTTAAGTTTCTTGGAAAAAAGTTGTTCATTTAGAGATTGGAAACAAGAAGGTAAACGGTTATAACGGTAATAGCACGAAGTAGGTATTTATTATCATTATCGTAGTAAGGGTAACCGCTTATTGGGTCAGGTTTAAAAAGGCGATACCTATAATATGAGTGTAAATAGTGGAAAAGCATCATTCGTTAAGAGGTATTATGCAGTGCGTTGGTCGTTTTCGCAGAGCGAGTTGTACATTACTAGGCGGATTCCGAAACTAGAAATTAACAAGAGCAGCACCAACCAAATTTTAAATAAATCTCCAACCTATTAATGTGCCGTTTTTAGAATTGAATATACTTCAATGTACCAAAGCCAGTTTTCTTTGTATCCTAGCCATTGTTGAAAAATCAAACCGAAATCAAAATATTTCAAAATCATTATTATTAATTCGTTAGTTTTAGTAAACGTAGTACGTTAAAATACATGATCTAGATGTCCAAGAATTTGATGTATTATGTAACAACGTGATTTTTCACAAAACAGGATATCAACAATTAACTATAAAATAAAACACAACGAGGCCAAAATTATCAACAAAATATTAACCAACATTCATGAAACGAAAATGAAGCAGAGGTGTGAATAGGTACAAGATTTCAGCTCATTATACACAAACTATAAATGTTAAATCTGATTAAGGTGTTGTCTTTAACATATGTAATACAACTGACTGTGCTCTATATATTGTTTACCAGAAAATCTCGTCATTGAATCTTAATTTTTTATTCAACGATTAAGTTAAACCCTGACATTTACAAAATTACAAAAAAATGTGCCACATTTCCTTTTCAAAAACAAGAATTAGGTCAATCTGCTTTAAAAAATGGGTCTGCTACGTAAATCACCTGGTTTAATGATAGTTTAAGCTTATAAATCAAAAACAACATTCACAATCCTGTGCATCAAACACCGAAACACCTGCTGCAGAAAAATGTAGGTAATACTTTTTTTGTACTGCACACTTATTTTATAAATGGAAACTCAGCATTTAATAAATATTTTTCACACATTCAAATGTCGTGTAATGTAAAGAAGTTTCAATAAAATTCCTTAAACTTTGATGGCCTAAATTAAAAAATTATTGAACATGTTATAAAGGAACTGAAAAAAACTTGATAAATCACTATATCCTGTAGTCACTGCATTATACAAAGGCGGACAGGCTACCGATCCTTCAAATTGTGAACCAATGCAATTACATCAGTAATTATACTAACATTTTTGAATTTTTATTATAAAATCAAGTGGGCAACTATTTTGAAAAAAAAATGAAGTTTTTAATATCAAACAATATGGCTTCCGCAAAAATCCTTAAAAACGGGAGATCAAAAATGAGTTGCCGTCGAGTCGCCTTTGGAAGTTCAGGTTAAGTACGATTTTCCATGTAAACAAAAATTCCAAAGGTGACTCGACAGCAACTCATTTTTGATCGCATGGTATATCAACTAATGGAGTGTTTCAATAGTTATTTGTGCAAACAGTTATTATTTTTCGTAACGAGCTGATTCTTGCGGAAACGACCGAAGCCCTTATCGGCAGGTGGAAAATATGTCAAAGGCGTTGGCACTTGCAGACCAATGGTGAGCTTAGTCCAAGGTTATCAACTTCAGACTCGTAAATCGACTAAGAATCTTATGTCGTACTTAGTAAACGTATCCGGAAGTTAAACTGCTACACTTGATTGAATTTGAACTCGTCCTTTAAAACTGGCCCCATAAATTAAAACCCTAAAAGAAATCAAAGGTAACCCCTCTTTCTTGATGTTGTAAATATACATACCTCTTAAATAAGAAGGCTAATTATAAATGAATGCAACAATCGTCGATGGAAAATTGTATAACAA